TTGGTAGCGAAGAACTATTGGCCGCGGTATTTGAAGGAGTGGTTGATTTTCTGATAGCAAGATATTTGCTTTCGTTTCTACCGCATGATTTAGCTCGTCTTCATTTTGTCTATAAATTCTATTTTCGAATATATATTTTTTATTTCAACATCTCTTTTTGCATTCTTCCTAATCATCTTCAATTAAGGAAAGAATTGTTGCTGTTGTTTTTGTGAGCGAAATGCGAAAAACAACATGTTTACCTGGAACAACAAATTTTGTCGTCGGCTTGCGCTTCGCGAGTTTCCATTCCGAATTTGCACACACGAATATCGAATGCATTCGAGCGACTGATAACAGAAACACCTAATTGAAAAGTTTAAAAGCAATTTGTGTGTGCTTGGCGATATAATTGCTCGTGTCGTTCTCTCGTTGGCGAACGCTTCTACAGACAGGCCCAGAATATGGCGGTCGACTGCTGCTGCAGCCGCTGCCTTCTCCCTCTCATGCGGGTGAATTGAGTCGTATGCTTCTTCTTCTTCTTCTTCTTCTCCATCTTCCTCCAATTTTTGTCTCCGCGCATATCATTCAACTGACATTCCATTTATTTTCTTCCATCCATTTGCTTCTTCGTTTTAATCGACTATTTCCGTTTCTTGAAATTATATGAAAAAAAAATGATGGAATAATCATCATAAAAGCCTTGAGATTTGTGGTTATATTCTTCTATTTTTTGCAGATTTTGGCGAAGCGACAAATTCGATTCGAGAATTCCGCGAAATACAATGGATTTTGAATCGAGGGGTGCCAGAAATTCAAGAAATTTACCAATGAACGATGTAATCTTTTTATAGTTGGAAAGTTTAGAAAGGGAATTGAAAAAAAAATTTAATTTTGATGTTTTTTATAAATATATTTCTTGTTTTAGGCATCATTAGCTAAGTGAAAAATTGCTTTTTTTTTCGCGAAACATCGATAAATTGGCTAAAAATTTAAAAATTTATTGACAATTAATAAGATAATAAATCCAGAATTTAGGATGGTTAGGATGGGTTTGAAATGATTTTTGAAATTTAACATTTTTTAATCATTTATTAATTGCAGTTCTGCATGGCTGTTTCCTTATTAGAACATCGAAATGAGTATTTGGAATTTAGCAGGTGCAAAATAGTAAATAGCAGCCTGATGATAGATCGGATTATCAGATTAAAACGTAGGGAATAAATGGGTATTGGGAACCTTAGAAGGTAAGGCAGCTAATTGGCATTGGCTCTCTTCATTTCTACCCGTTTTTCAATACAATTAGGATGACTGTTTTGCAAACGGCAACAAATATCTGTCAGATGTCGGAACTTTATTGGAGAAGTTGACATAGTTTCGTATTTCATGAACATTGTATAAATAAGTTGAATTGAAGATGACTCATCAAAGAAATTTATTATTAGTTTTAATAAAAAGGAAATACTCGAGAAAATCGTGCAAGCTCAACCTTTTTTGCCATATTTGTATACTCATTTGTTTTATAGAAACTCAATTTTAGTTGATAAATTGTGGATTAATATGACCAAGTACATTGAGAAATATAGATACTTCGACTCCGACCAACTTCGATTAACAGTCGACTCATTCTAGAAACTTTAATAAAAAATTAACATAATAAGTTTTTTTTTTTCAATTTTAAGGTCTCTAACTGAATTTGAACTAAAATGTTCACGTTTTTCTCATTTCTTGCGCCATTTCGCTAACCGATTTAAGAGAAATTTTAAACAGTGAATAAAATTATGTCAATAATAATAGCTTCAATAGGAATTGTTTTAAAACAGTTTCTATTCTAAATAGGAATGCTTGATGTTTTAGTCCGTCTAGTTTTCGGTCAAATCAAAGAAAATTTGATAAAATGGAGAATGGATTGTGATTGTGCAGAGCTTTTCAGCAGAGTCCCTTAAACTATGAGAAGATTCTGCTGATGGTCTGTGCAGACCTTGATACTCTCAGCAGAGTTTCAGCGTACTTTCAGTCTGTTCAGACATTCAGTAAACTCTTATTAGAAACAGCACATATTTGAGCTTTTACAGAGAAAAAAAGATTTTTATTTATCGTCTGTTGCTATAATAAGAATTATTTTAAGGGATATTACATTTCCTCGCCGGGGTGCTCAAATGGTCACGATGAGGCCGTGAAAATTCCTACGTGGTTGAAACAGAAACTGAACAATTCAGAGGCATTCTATCAGATTGAAACATTGACGATTGAAACCGTAAGCACCTCGTTTTTATGGTTTTCTAATATTCCACTTAAAAAATTGAAAAACTGAAGCTGGGCTCTCCCAAAAGAAACTGTAGGCCACGTAATTGTTTTATCATGTTCAACTTCAATCTCTCGGCCGAAGTTAATCCTACGTCGAATTGGCTCAGAGCAATTGGGTCCATCAAGTTCAGACAGGCGGCTTCAAATATTTTTTATCGTTTTGGTTGGTGATGTTGGACTAGCAACCTGGGTCGACCTAAAACAAACCGACCCTACATTTTCTCCAGGACGAACTCTCATAAAAAGTACATCGGACATTGTCGAAAATTGAGTTTGATGAGACTTTTTTTCACTATTCTCAATTGAAAGAAAATCAGCTCAATTGAACTTTGGAAAAAAATTAATTGCAGATAAGGCACATTGTTTATGTAACATTTGAATATGAAGACAATCAAAAATGGACAGTTGAAGAGTAAGAAAGAAGATTGTTAGTGTAAATTGAATTAATGTTTATTCAGAAATATAGATCGACATTTCAATATTGTTAAAGACATATTCAAAATAATACCACGCAATGTCAAAATCGAAAGACTTAATATTTCTGTAAGCATTTTCAAAAATTTATTAAAAAAAATTTAAAACCTACATTAATTGGAAAGATTCATATTTTCAGAGTAGCGAAAAGTATCAACTCGAGAACTTATTGTTGATTTTTTCCACGCATTGGGAATGTGACGCGGTGGGTTTTTTTTTGTTTCGGCATCCTGCGACCGCACACCTTCTTGTAACCCTCATTTTTTAAAAGAAATACAAAACAAGTATAGGAAAACGATATAAACGGGTTGCGCTTGAAAAAGGAAGTACCATCAAACGGGCGGTTCCGTTTTTACAAATCGGCTAAATGTCAGAAATGGTCTCGAGACGACGAGACACACAACGCGTTGTGTAGTCCACACGGGAAATGCATCACTTAACAACTTGGCGTAAATACCCCCACGCGTAAATCGACCCTTATATTGTGAGATCCAATTCTACAGTGAACCGCGCGATCGCACACTTCAAAAATGAACTTGAAAAATTTAAAAAAAGTGGGCGCAATTTATAAATTATAAATGTAGGAAAAAATTTCAATCCTAACAAGTAAATTTCATTTGCGTGTATAAAAAAGAAACATTTCCAACCGGAGATAAACTTGCCTTCTAAAGTATTTTTTGAAGATTTTTTTCTGGAACATACATGTATCATTTTATAATTTTTCAGTTTCATTATAAGCTGAACCATTTCGTGAAAGATTTAACTATTCTGAAGAAATTGATCAACTCATTGGAGTTATCTGATTTCCACTTGGAATTACATTTCGCAAAGAAGACCCCAATCAATATTTTTGAGGTACTCGTGGTGTTTTTTTATTAAAGAAAATTCATTTAATTTAGAATAGAAAAATCCGTCATGTTCATGCTCTTGTTAAGAACAATGGAGAGATCGAAGAAAAAAGGGATCTCAAGAAGTTGCGAGTTGACATTGAAAAATCAGGTTTATATGGTTAAAATTGTGATGTGTGTAATATTTTTTTTAATAAAAGGTTCCCAAAATTCGAATATTAGCAACCTTCGGGCGGTTAGTAAAGAAGTTGAAACGTATAGTGCCGATTTCGAAAGAAGTGTGGAGGCGATCGAATCACTCATACACTTCATTTTTACGCGGCAAATCTCGAAATCGCGGCCATTCAAACGATTTTCTATCACGTAATCTTCTCTTGATTCTCTCAAAATAATTTTAGAATTCAGGTCGTGCTTTGCAGAAACAGATTGTCGTACAAATAACATTTGGAATGGCGTCATTCAACGAGACAGCATTTACTATTTGAAGAGATTTGCCTACAATGATCTATCAATCCAAATCGCATTATTGTCCAATGTAATAATTCTTTAATATATGTCGATATAATATTTGATTCGCGATCTGCAAAATCCATTGAATATTTTCAGTTTCCCATTTGCATCATGGAGAATCGATTAGAATTTTCGTTACGAATTGATCGTATTTTGTTGAAGTTTGACGAAGAAGCGTTTTTTCGCGTCATGAGCAACATGAGATATCTCAAGATATGTTTTTCACTGCGGATTCAAAAATCACTTTTATTTAAATACATTCAGGTTTCCTTTTCAAATAATATTCGCTAATGGTGCCATGTAGGTTTCGCAAAAGAAAAATCAAAAACCAGTAAAAACCATTACGAAATTCCGCAAAAATTAATTTTTACCAGTTTTTTGAATTATTTTCGTAATCTGCATCACACCAAAATGTTAAATTCGAACTAAAAGAATGAAATATTTTAGGAATGGATTAATGATTTTCGAGATATTGAAGAATGGGACATTTATATTATTACGAAGTTTAGCGAAGTCGAGATTAATTCTTCTTTCCTAGGTGTTGCTCCGAGTACAGATGAATGGATAATTCTGCAAAGGTAAATAAAAAATTTAAAAGAAAAGTATTATCGATTTTTTTAAAGAAATTCTGGCTTAGAGTATTTGTGGATCCATAAGCAAATTTGCAACACTAATCGTTTTTTCGCAGTTTCAAAGAAGTGCCACGAACGGACGCCCGAGATAACATTCTAAATATATTTTTTCTTTTTAATCTCGAGTCCATAAACAATTCAAGAAAGTTTGTGAGATCAATTTATTCCACAACGGTGTTAAATCAAAATATCAGTATAATTGAATTGAAAATGTATCAAATGTTGGTGAGTGGGGAACTTTTAAAAAGAATTATTCCATGTTTTCTTCGTCGTCAATCTTTGGAGCAAGATAGAATCGAAGATAGCCGTTTTCTTCGATTGGGTATTCAACGACGACGGGAACATCATTGCACAAAGAGAGGCGGACTCGATCAGAAAGAGACGTGGCCTTGGTGAATTGGTTCATATATTTAATTGAGAAGTTGACGTTGATTGGATCCTTAACTTCGAGCGAAACGGACTAAAATAAAAATCGTTTTCTAGTTAGCTATGAATAAGTAAATACCCACCTCAGATTCATCATCAGTATTAGCAGATGGGGAATAAGTAACGACAGATTGTCCGATATCTCCTTTCCCGGTAAACACAATAGCCGATTTAGTTGCAGTAATGTTCAGTGAATCCGAAAAGGTAGCCAAATCCTTGCAAGTTTTTTGGAACTCGGCAGCCGGCATTTCACAAACGACAGAATACTCTTGCTCAGGAATTCCAAGATGTTCGCTGTCGATATCCATCATCTTCACTGTAACGTCCTGCGTTTTGTCTCGTTTTGGATCAGCGAACGTAAACGTTATCGAATCTCCCTCATTCTCTTCGTACTGAAACTTGCGTCGTTTAAACGAATTAAGACAACAAATTTAATTACTTTAAGCATACAGGTATCATCATTGTTGGCGCACTTCAAAGCCTTCGACATGTTCGAAAGTGACAAACCAAGATTAATAGTGCGATCACATCTGTAAGTGTCAAACAGTCCGACTTCGAGCTTTAAAGAGACAAGCGCAACGTGTGAAGAATCCATAGCCTGAAGGCTCATTGAGGTTTCAGAGCAATCAAATGGGGCATCCGTAACGAGATCCTGAAAACAAAAACTCTTTACAGCTTTATGAGAGACGAAAAACCTTGATCGACTCAACAATTTTTTTGAGAAGACCGGCGTTAGCGAGCTTGGCCTCGAACATCTTTGGTACTGAAAAAGCGTGCATTTATTTCGACAATACAATAAGTAAAATAACAGACATGTCGCAAAAAAAGAAAAATAGAAAATGAAACGGAAAAAAGAAGAAAAAACACCCTCAATAATGACGACGAGTCAGAATGAGCGCTAAATGTTATCGAACAATGTTCGCGCGCAAAAAATTCAAAAAAATGCGCCAATTTCTTGCCGGGCATTCAAATTTTACGTCAATGCGAACCACTTGGCGTTAAACTTGTCGTTGTAGATTTACGAAATTTACTTTTCGCATTATTCGAATAATTTTTTGTTTCGGATAATAATAATTATTACAATTATCTGTTATGAAACATTCTTCGCGTTCGAACAAAGATTATTCTCCGTGGGTTTAAATGTTCAAAGCATGAAATTAAAATAAAAACTTTTTTTAGTTCTCGTCGCAGGCATGATAGTAGGGATAGAAATAAACGGGACAAATATCAGTCAAGTTCCCGTTCGAAAGATTATTCGTCGGTATGTATTTTTATTCGGTGAACTAATACGTGGTTTATTTAGGATATTGCAAAAATGAAAGACAAAATGAGAACAGGATTGGAATCAGCAAGGAGTTATCAATATGAACCAGAAACCAGCTCTTCAAAAGTAAAAATAGGTAAAGTAAATAGAACTGAAATTATTAAAAAATTAATCATAAAATCAGAAGACGAAATTGATCATGTGGAACGCGCTCGTATCATTCAGCAAATTGAAGAAAATGGATTCCAGCCGGCCAACTTTAAAACAAGTTCAGGATCTCGAAAGTATGCTGATAAAAAGGTATAAAAGACAATAAAAAATGTTTTCAATATATATTTTTCAGAAGGAAAAAGAGTCAAATTCTGAAACAAATCACGATGCAGCAATGTTTGGTCCCGCATGGAAATCAAAAGAACAACTGAAAAAAATTGATAAAGTATTTTATTTAAATAATGTACAATAATAATTAAAAATTTCGTATTTCCGTTTCAGAAAATCAAGGAAGAAGTGAATTTAGACGACGTTGAACTTCCTGAAGCAAATATGAAGAAACTTTCAACAAATGCTCCGATGGTTCCCGATCACGTAACTTATGATATTTTATTCAAAACCACCTTTTTCTAATTTCAGTTCAATTCTGAATTTTCGGAAAAACGAAATCGAGCATGGCTTGAATTTTGGCGATTGCAACGCGAAGATTGCTTTTGAAAAATATTGGTACATTTATTCATTAAGTAAACTATTTGTACATGGTTACATTCATTGTTTGATTTGTCAAAAATCGACACGAGTAATTATGCTTCTATGCGCTTTAAATACATTGAAATATCGATCATTGAGGCCCGATAATACACGTTATGAAATCATTTTAGGAAAAGCACACTCAATTTTTAAAAAATGCATAGGGTTCCTATTTGACCATAAATTATCAATTGGGAGCAATAAGTGATCGGATTTCGAGCGGACTGCCGCCGTTCGGATTCACTTGTTTAAATTGCGCGGATGATTGCTGTTGTGTCTGACTTTGCATCGCCATTTGATTGCCAAGAAGCATCTACAAATTTAAAATGGTAACTTCGAAACAATTCTTCTTCGAAACCTGTTGAGGGTACATCAGTTGTTGATGCGGATTATTCTGAAGCAACTGATTGACTTGTTCTTCTGCCTGCGAGGGCATTTTATGTTGACATCTCTGAAAATCAAAATTCAAGTTGCGAAGATGTGAAACAAAATCAAGAAGCACCTCTTCGTGTTTCTTTTTCTCGTCCAGTTTGTGGAACCTTCGAGCGCACGTCAAACAACTAAATGGTTTATCAGACGAATGCGTTCGCTCATGTTTCGCAAGATGATCCGATCGGGAAAAAGAGCGAAGACAAGTTCGACACTAAATACATAAAATTGAAAATAAAAAAAACGATAATGTTAATATTACCTGGAATAATCGTTGACCCGTGTGTATTCGCATGTGCCTTTGCAGGTGATCATTTCGACAGAATCTCCTTTGACAATCTGGCCGAGGACATACAAAAGGTCTTTCTTTGGGCATCCCCTGAATCTCGCGAATATCAAAAACGAAGTTCCGAAAAAAAGACCACTTACATTCGCGTCAACAGCAGTTCTGCGCCCTTGTCCTGAGCTTTTCTTCTTTTTGGGAGTCTAAAATTGTAATTACAATCTAAATTCAATTCTGTCGCTTATTAATATACTCGTTGATTCGACTGCAATAATTGACCATTGCCATTCATCGACATCAATTGCACATGATGTTGAGGATTGCTAACAACGCCGGGTGGAAAAAAATCAAACTAAAAATATGAAACAATATGAGAATTTTTCCAAGAATCCGCTACGAATTACCTTTTGAGAGCTATTTAACAACAAGTTTGAATCAAATGACACTGGATTTGAGGGATCGTGGTGGTATGCTGAAAATCGTTGCCTGTTTTCTTATATCCAAACTTTTTATACATATTAAAACAACATATCTCTGAAAAAATAATCTCTACCTCCTGATATTAATTGGTTAACACGATTTAACACTAGAGCTGCTGCTCCATCAGAAATTTGTTGGTGATTAGAATGCTGAGATTGTTGTTGTTGATTATGGTTATTCTGTAAAAAAATTATATTTGAAAAAAGGTTTATTCGAAGTCACGCAACAGCGGAAAATTTGACAAATTGTCAAAAAATAAAAGAAGAGGTCACGATGCGCCTTTAACCTATCCTTACATTTAGACTTGTAAATCAACATTTTTAGTTTTCAAGCAAGAACACTGCCATTATTTTTTTGCATTTAGCCAATTTTCCGCAGTCGCGATACGCCGACAATAAATATCCAAGCACGTTTGGTTTATTGGGCAATGTAGAGGAAAAAATGCGATGCAAAAAAAGAATCGAAGATACGTGTGTTTTCGTCGTGATTCGCATCGAAACCAATCGCATAAATAAAGGACTTGCGTCTTAAAATAAGTGCGACATACATCTTTAAAAAAAAGTAATTTAACACGCATGCCGCTTATTTATGCGATGGGTCTCGATGTAGAAAGTAGTAAAGTATAGAAATAAAAAATAGTAAAGGCAAGCGAGGCTCCTGTTTTTATCTCGAAATCTGCAAGCCGGCACACTTGTACATAATATTTAAACATAACATAATGCCTTTTTTTCATTATTAAATTAGGAAAATTCAAAATTTTTTTATAAAAAACATTTCAAATGCGTACGTAATCCAAACATACAAAACAATTTCAAATTGAAATTTCAGTAATACTTTACTATTTCTTTAACCACACTAACCTGCGAATGTTGGTGTTTCGAACTGCTTGGCTGCTGCTGTTGTTGTTGCTGTTGAGTGCCACCAAACGACGTTTGTGGCTCAGAGGAGTGTATCATCCGATTCATCACACCTAGATTTAAAAAAAGATAAATCGTTTAAGATTAATAAATGAAATATCGAATTGTTATGAATAAACAATTATCAGTGGCAATTAAGGCATAAGAAACGTTTCAACAATTTATTATTAATCAAATCAACAACAAAAACAAAACAAATAAAAATCAACAATAAGCTAAAACAAAACCTATCGCCTTTTTCCTTTTCCTTTGCCGCTCTTCATATTCTTTCCTCCTTTTGCGGAACTCATCTTTTTCTTGACATTTTCTTGTCTGCGATGCTCCATATAACTTTGTAGTTTCTCTTGCTTCCTTCGTCCCTAGAAATAAAGAGATTGAAGAATAGTACAAACTGTTAAAAACCTTAAGTATTTGCTCCTTTGTTTTCAATTCTGAATGCTTTGGCCCATTTGCTGACGCGCTCTTCGATCCCCATTTCCTCTTTCGACTGTTCATCTGAGAATTATCGGTATTCTCCCCATCCTCATCATCATCATTATTCTGTGAAAATCAAAATATTAGCTCAGTTTGACAATTAATGAAATCATGCAAGTTTTCATACAAATAAGTATATGTATTTACCTTCTTGAATCCAATTTTTTGCTTCTGCTTCCATTCCTCATATTTTCCAGTTTTATATGAAGCCGGCAACCAAGTTCCTTCTTCCGTTCGAATTTTCTTCTGGGCAGGCTCATCAGCTCCAACGAACTTTTTCAATTTTCTATCCCTAATATGACATTTTCGTTTTTTTTTTTAAAGACAATGCGTCAAACGAATTACCATCGTTTCGCATGCGTCTGCTTATACATTCCACGATCATCATCCGCAATAATATCAACCGAAGCTCCTTCAGCTTGTCGGGCGAAATCAACTTTGTCCAAAGCCAAATGTCGTTCAGCGACATGATCCGTAGAGGTGTACGGTACATAATGGCGTTCTTTTTCCAGCCGCATTTGCTCTGCGCGATCAATTCTCTTTCCGCCACCTCCATTCTTCTTCTTTTTCGGTTTTTTAACTTCTTCAGAAGTTTCTTTCGCCTTCGTTGATCCGATAACTTTTGTGAAAACTTTGGCTAATTCGTTTTCATCAGCCATTTCAGCTTTTCCCGTCTCGACTTCGTCTTTTTCGTTCGAAACTACTTTATTTTCCTTCTTTGCCGCTTCTTTCATTTTCTTTTTCTCTTCGGCTACTGTCAAAATTCGAGACTCGTGAGCTTTTCGCTTTTCTTGCATTACAGCTAGAGCCTGCGATTTTTGGCTTTTATTCATTTCGAAAATTGTCTAAAAAAACGTTCTCATTAAAAATGTTTTTTGTAAACCAAATATCTTACATTTCGACTCTTATAATTTGCAATTTTGATGAGAATATCATAGCTTTGCCGGTCGCCTTCGCATTTCAAAAACGGATGAGGCGCACATTCGACGGCTGCTTCACGTAGATCTTGTTTCACACGACGAGCTGATTCCGCAGAAGGCGGCGGACGTGTTCGCGTGTATTTTTGCATCGCATTATTCGCTTTCTGCCTAAGGTCCAACTAAAAAATGAAATTGAATAATAATAACAACTGAAAAGATTTGAGAATAAACATTATCTCACCATTTCCTCGTTATTATCATGTATTGAATTGAAAAATTCGGTTTCGACGCTAACAATCGAGTCAGGAACGCGACCAATAAGAGTCTCATCTTCTGAAAATTGAACATTTCCTTACTACTGAAACGTGATAATCCAAAATGATCGTTTTGAGAAAATTTTTCGAACTATTTCAAACGGCATTCGCTCATCAATAAATTTAATGTGTTAGTTGATAAAATAATCAACGAAATGGCAAAATTTAGTCGAAAATAATCACGTTGATAACACGCATTTTTTCAAAAATCTTAAAAATCAAATCACCTTTATAAACACTTCCATCTTGGGCAAAATTTATTGGCTTTCCAAGGAATAAAAACAAATCGGCCAAGTACGGAAGCTCATCATTTGCAATAAGCGAAATAGCTGTTCCGCTTCTTCCGGCTCTCGCAACACGACCAACACGATGAACAAAAAGTTTGGCCTTTGGTGGGAAGTGTAAATTAATCACCTAAATATTGTAATATAAATATTTTCCAAACGAAAATTGGAGATCTACCGTGTCCAAAAGTGGAATATCAACTCCTCTTGCAGCAACATCGGTTACCACCAGAATATTGTTCTTTTTTTCATGGAATTTTTGAATATTCATTTTTCGCGCCGTCGCATCGAGCTGCGAGTAAACGAATGAGCAGTCAATTCCAGCACGGTGAAGAATTCCAACAACATATTCGACATGCTTCATTGTTGCACAGAATACGACAGTCTGCTTGTTTTCGACATTCATTCGCCTGAAAAAAAATATTTTTTAAATATTACAAAGATAAGGAGACCGAATTACCTGCACAGATGAAGAAGAGCAAATAGTTTCTCCTCTGGACGACACATACAGAAGACCATTGACAGTTTATCACTGACTTTTTCATCAACGTCAAGACGAACTAAAAGTTTTATCATTAAACACCTTATAAGAATTTCTTAAATCTTACCAAGCATTGGATCAGTTAATCCCGCTTTAGCGAAATCCACAAGCATTTTAGGTAGAGTGGCGGAAAATAGGAGGGTTTGTCGGCTTTCAGGGATTCTTTTAAGGGTTTCCTGAAATGATTTATAATTTCCTTTTCGTTGCTTCTTTCATACCGTTAATTGATCTTGAAATCCCATTTCAAAAAGTCTATCAGCTTCGTCAAACACAACATATTGAACAAATGAAAGTTTCAGGTCCATTTCGACAATAACATGAAGCAATCGTCCGGGAGTAGCAAGTAGACTAAAAAAATTTGATAGGAATATAAATAACTAGCCTTACATGTCAGGATTCTCATGAATCGTTGAGAATTGGTCCTCTAAAGCGTCACCACCAACGAGCAGAGCGCAGCGTAATCCAGTAAACTTTCCAAGCTCTTTTACAACTTTGAACGTTTGTAAAGCAAGCTCTCGAGTTGGAGAAACAAGAAGAGCTCTAATTCCTTTTGTATCTCGTCTTTTTAGTTTTTGAAGCATCGGAATTACAAAAGCCGCGGTTTTTCCGGATCCGGTACGCGACATCGCCACCACATCTTTACCATCAACAATGCATGGAATTGTTTTGCGCTGAAATATTTCTTAACTTCCAACAAAAATAAATACTGTTGTAAATTCAATTAAAGAACGTGACAAAAATTATTCACGTTGATTTTTATAAATGTTTAATATTATTAGTTACTCGATTGAAAATCTACTAATCAAGAAATATGGAAAAATATAAATACAACGGCATAATTATTTTTTATATTAAAGCTTAGTTACAAACTTGAATAGGAGTTGGCTGCTTGTAACCCTTTTTCTCAATTGCTTTATAAACGGCGTGATCCAAACCCAGTGATTGCCAACCGCCAGCTTTTTTTTGTTTTCGATTCTGATTTTGTTGAAATTGTGTGAAATCTTCTTCTTCATCGGATGCCATATTTTCTAAAGTAATATAAATTGTGAGAGTTGCAAAAAACGCGTTTAAAATCTTTTAAGAAAAAGAAGAATTAAAGTATGTCGTAAGATATGGCGCATTGTCCGCAGTACACCACAGCATGCGCGTACCGTAGCGGCGTCGCTTCAGCTCCCGCGTTATTCGATATTTTCCACATGAAATAAAAAGACGTCGAATTAGGCATATAAATTTTGAAAAAAAAAATAAATAAAATAAAAGCTTATTTCATTTTCCGGTTAAAAAAATCTAACCAACCAAAGGCTTTTTTTCAAACCCAATAAAGGTAATTTTTTGCAATTTTTGCCTTGTAGGCGTTTTATGAATCAATTTTCTCCATTTTTGACTTTATTGAAATCTTTAAAAGCATAAAAAATACAGAAAATCTATACAAAGTACATGCACGAAGAACAAATAGTGAAAGCTTCACATCAAAACCAAAAAATTAGTTGTTGTTCAAATTCGTTAACACATAAAGGCAGTCAATTGATACAAAATAGCGAGAAAGTGGATGAAAAGAGGAAATACATTTTGAAAAAGAAAAAAATCTATATTATTGAATGAGTCACAGGGCCGTCGAAGGCACAGAAAATTAAATTTCCATACAAAATTAACAAAATATTCAATTATATACAATTCTAATGTACATTTCTAACCGATTGGTCTATATTTTAACCCAAAAAAAAATGCAGAAGACTTCAGTTCAGAGGGTTTTTGGAAGCAAAGGAAGAGGTGTTGACAAAGATGGCAAATAAGATATGAATCTGAATGTAAGGATGAGAGAATTCCTGAAAAATTATATGTGCATGTAACAGTGAGAAATTTGTTCACAATGCCGACTACAATTCCATGGGATCCATGAAATCGTCATCCTCATCTGGATTGAAGTCCGACAAAGAGGAGACGTCGTCGTCGTCGTTGCAACTGTCATCTTCTTCATTGCGAGTTTCTTTCACGCGAGATAGAAAACAATTTCTAATGGCTTCTTCGGTAGCATAGCGATCGACATAGTCTGAAATTATAAGAATTAGTCAATTTTCAGCCAGCTTAAAGATTATGTTTTTTTTTTTCTCAATAATAATAATAATCAGAAACTAACCTTTACACGTCTTTTTAAACTCCTCGGGTTTATGAATGTACAATTGGGCCGCTTCGCCGTTCAACGGGTCTTGGGCATTTGGGTAAGTGAGTAACTGCGGCAAAAACGATTCGAAAATATTTGCAAGATCATACAAGGCAGTCCAGGCCTGAATTATGAAAGCGATGAGCACTCGATAATAACTGGTCGAGTCTACCTGGTTTATAACATCGAGGCAAACAGTGCCACTCGATACGTCAATGTTTGGATGGAAAATCTTGTTCATAAATCCAATAGATGGTGATTTAAACGGATATTTTTCTGGCAAATCGACCCGAATTTTCCAAACGCCATTCTCATAAGCAGCTGAAAATAGAGATTTGCTCGTGGGAATGCGGAAAATCTCTTACTTCCTTTCGGACCATAGAATTTGACTACAAACTCGTTTAGTCCGTTTTGCAATGTGACCTCATGGTGATTAGCGATTCTGTAATTTATAACTATTCCCATTTTCTGATTCTAATTATTGTTCAATTCGAAAAACCTTCACACCTCATTTAATCATGTATAACCCGATTCCACTCAACCTACAGTCGCGTCGTCAAAAGAACCCAACTCGACAAACACACCAAAATGTCTGGCGCTATACACGAGCGAGCGCCCATCCAGCAACATGTGATCATGTGCTGCCGCTGCTGCGACGCCCTCGCCCATTCACAACGCCGCTGAGTGCGCGCGACGGTTAGAGTCGGTCAGAGACGGAGAGAGGGCGAATGTGACCGGGACTGGGCCAACCGAAGAAAACATGCCGAAAATGTTTGCTATGTTTGCTATAACCGAAATAATATGCACTTCTTTCGGAGTCCGCGAGGGTATGTGATAGAGAAGCGCATTAAATAACCAGAACTACCTGGACACCCTCAATTTTGGGGTTTGTGTCTCTCAAACCGGTATTTTAAAAAAATCAAAAAAAAAATACATAACATTTTACTCGAAAAAAATTAAATGGATATCAATTTCAAAAAAAAAAAAACCTTTAAATTGAAGCATGTATTATATGCATATTTTTGTGCATATTTGCGCAACAAATGTTTACTTTTTCTGGCAATTTCTCTCTTTTTTTGCATGAAACGCATTTTCCCCCGCTCTCTCGTAATTTGTGATGTTTAGACTCTTGAGATATTTTCCCGAATGTTCGAATCGAATCGACCGATGGAAAAACTTACAGCTTGACGACATCCGTGTCCATACGACGTTTTCCCGAACTTGGCGACGACATATTTATTTTGGTCTCGACACGCGATGATTGTGGAAGATTACGATGGTCTAAGTCTCACGAGACGACGTCCAGCAAGGAGATGAAGCGAAGAAAGGGGGAAAAAACGTGGGCAACAAAATGCGTCGCTGGCTTTTCTTCTAGTTCTCGCCCCGACGATTCTATAAATAAGTACATTTTGTGTTTGTGGGTTTTTCATGTTGAATAAATGAAAACGGCAACAATGAAACAAGAGAAAGAGAATGAAATGAACGCGCGATATCGCACAGCTGTTATAATGATAAGGCATCTCAAACGATGGGGGGAGGAGTAGCCATATAAGTAAGTGCCTGTGTGTGTGTGTGTGCGTATGCTACTATATATCATATGACCTATGAGAAGACTGCTCGTTTAGCACATTTCGTTAAAATGATGTAATAATCGTAGTTCGACGTCCCATCGCCCGAGAATCAATCTATTCATCTTCTTGCTGGTACTAATCCGATTTCTACCAGGATATAAAATCACACAATGGAAAACCTAATAAATGACCTTGTGTAGATTTACAGACAACTTTATGCCCCTCCCCCCCCCCATAATTACCTTTTGCCCGATGAATGTCAGAATGCCACAAGAGAGAGTTTATACGCAAAAATATTTACGTGTTTACAAATTTCCCAAGGGCCCTACAAAATATTTAGTGTTTCGATTGCACAAAGAATTCACTCATGCTGCTACAAAAATCGATTGGAATCGACAATAAATTTTTTGTTTGCATTTGTTGAATAATTTACGGCGGAAAATCAATCAACGAACAACAGGAGACGGTTTTTTTTGAAATACCTGTGTCGACATCGGCCGCAACTACAATTCAATGATTCTACGGCAAAATGACCCATACTGAAACAAAAAATCCCATACAATAACTGTGTTTTCTCCGAACCGACATGGTTGAAAATCAACCCGACAATGCTTCATAGCTTAGGGCAAAGAAATGGAAAACGACACAGATGATGAACAGTCAGTGTGCGGCGAGACGGGCTGGCGATCAGACGTTTTCGAGGGTCGCAAAAACATGCCGAAATACAATGCGAAAATGAGAACAAAGCAGCGAGGAAGCGTTTTGCAGCGCGATGTCGCCTACGAAAAAGGCGAGCGAGAGAAGCAAATTCGCGAGGGGTCCGTCAGATGACATCGAGAGAGGAATCGCGAGAGTGTGTTCGCGCAAGAGACGCACACAACAAATGCGCGAGCATTGCGCGCAATGACGAGACTTCAGAAACTCATGAAAATGTGGAAATACTTTGAATTTCGAGGAGGTGTTCTCAATTCAAGGCTCAAATAGCATAGAATAACAAGAGGGCGGCGACGAGAAACAATTACCGGCGGCAGTAGCGACGCAGGCGTCAGCGTGTGTCACGAAATGGAAAAAAAAAGAGGCTGGGCATGCCGGATTGCGGTGAGAAAGTATTTTGATCGACGCATTTTTAATGCAGTCCGATTTGGAAACAATTTGGATTTCTGAAAGGACACAGAAAAGAACGGTCAGGGGTGAATGGCACGTTGTGTTGGATTTTAATGCAATTTGTCGAAATGCGACTTCAGGAGGTAGCTAATTGTTATTCTGCGAAATTTCGAGAATTTCAATTTGAAATCGTGTCTGTTAATAGAATACATATGTGTAGTTTTTGGGCGAAAACATATTTTACAACATCAGGACCCGATTGCGACAAGACCACCTCGCCACCTCGGACGATTTATCGCAAGTTCTGCATATCAATCGCGTTGGAAGTCGATTGATTACGAGGAAGAGTTTTTCGATATTCTTCTTGTTTACTATATACATCAAGTTTGCAATTTTAAGATTATTTTAACATGTATTCTTGCTAAAAAAAAAAACAAAAATTATTACAGTATCAGTGATAAGGATTATAAGTAAGTAAGTAATAAAATGGAGTAATAAAATATGATTTATGTTTTAATTTAAAAAAATTAAGGACTCTCGGGAAACTTGCAATTTACTTATGTGAAAGGAAAATCAGGTTGTTTTTCAACACTTGTTTTCCCATTCGAAAAAGGCATTACTTTGGAATAGAGGCATTTGCAATAGTGTATAATAACTACTTTCAATATAATGAATGCGATGTTAGCGTTACCAGGGAAATGCGACCAAACCTAAAAAAAAGCGTCGTCAAACAGCAGAAATTCAAAGAAGAATAAGAAGAAGTCATGGGTACAACGCATCACGTGGATTGGTCAGCCGTCACACAAATGAAACGCGAGCCGGCCGGCCGACCGGACGACTGAACGACCGCTTGCGATTTTTAATGCGTAATGACATTATTCAAAAAAATCTATAATTGTTTAACAATCACTAGTGGCGGACCAATCCCATAAAATTATTGTAAAATTTCATCTAGAAATTCTCTGTCATAGGAGGCAATTTTCCACATTTTTTGGTTAGAAACGTGACACTCGCTAGTTTTGAAAACGTTGTTCTTCCGAAAAGTGAAAGTCGGAATTTCTAATTTAATGAAGATGGAATCATGCATTCCATTAGTTGATAAAAATCAACCATCGGCAAACTGCCGGACCATTTAGGGAAATAAATAAAATAATGACAATGAGTTTTGGGGACACAATTTAGGATGGTCGTATAACCCGACAACCGAACAAACAAGGCCGCTCTTTCGTTCAATGAACTCTTGACGACAAATGCTATCTGCTCATAACTCTTCAAAATATTTATATTGAAGAACATCGAAGTTCGAAACTAATCAGCGTATATCACAGATTATTGATAATATTTTTTGAAACTGTAAATCAATATAAATCGAATAAAATAAGAATATGAGATTTTCATTCATCTTTTTTGTCTTTCTAAATTCGATGCTACACTTTCGCCGCAATAACATAAATATTTACAAAGGAAAACAAGAAAAAAGAGTAAAATAAGGGAAAGGAAAAAGAAAACAACACAAGCAAACAGCAATGGCTCTTCTGGTGAGGCCGTTGTTGTTGTTGGTATTGACGAGTGTTGTTTTGTGTTCTCTAATCGATCTGTTTCTTCGGGTGAGCGTCCCGATTTGGAAAGTTTATACAATTGAAAAAGAATATTAATTTACTCGAATATTTCAAACTTCATTTTTTAATTAAGTTTTTTGTTTTTGGTTCATATGAACGTAACGTTTTGTTTTTCAGTTAAGATACGGGAAAATTGCAGAGAATAGTAGATAATATGATAGCTAAAATGATAAGAAACAAATAATTTAGGAAAATATTCGCTATTCTCAGATGAAGGGAATGAGAAGGAGAGACTGAGCGCGGACCAATTGAGCGAATCTTATATTAGGTCGATGAAATGATGTTGTAGATAATACATAGATTAACGGAAGTTGTTAACCCACATGTATTATTTGAAAGGAAGGAGGTTATTAGAAACGTAAATACATATATAATATGTATAAAAATGTATAACACAAATATTATTTAAAAAAAAACGCAAAAACCAACCAAAAATACCTCAATTTATAAAAATCACTAATTTGGAAGTTGCCTTTTCAAACCTACAGAAAAAATTTGATAAATATAAATAATTGTTGTATTTTTTACGAATAATAATTATAATTATTATAATAAAAAAACATTAAAAAAAAAGACGATTAATAATTGCGAACACACGAGATGTATGCATAAAAACTATACCATCTTAAATACATTCTCTCCACTGGTATTTTATTTGAGTATGTACATATATATTTCATTCAATAATTCAAAAAATTAACGCTATTTTTTCGTATTACTTTCGCAAAAAAAAAAAAAACAAGGACTCTGTGCCGATTTACGGTTAGTTTGATTCACAGGTTATCCAAAGTACGGTACCATGATTCCCACTGTTTAAATTCGAATTTGAATTACCGCCTTGATTCAGTGCGATAGCCCATAATTATGCAAAGCACTTTTTTTGCGATGGTATTTTCGGAGTCAAACGGCTTGACGAAATTAAAAAAATTATTTGTTCAGATCAATGATTCATCGAATCAAAGATCGTTCCAAATTTTACAGTGTATAATATATTATAAAACGAATTGTTGCATCTGAACAATGTGGCAAGTTGTGACAATTTGGTTGCGAAAAAACGGTACTGAAGAATCGTTGGTGAATGTCAATGCGGGTGACAGTCGTCCGCCCGTCTTTTAACCGCTACTCGGGATCGGCCGCAAAAAAAAATTCGTTGAGTATTTTTTGAAAAATCAGCAGTGAAACGATTTAGGAGTGTGCTTTCTCTTACTTTAATAGCATTTATAATTATCGGAGATTCGTTTATGAACCATTTTTTTTTCATTTTAGATGAGCTCCCCACGTTATCTCACAAATTATTAGTTGAAACTTCTTTTGTTTCTAAGTTTACTTAAGCCTGTGAAGCAATGATTTAAATAGTTGATAAATAGTTAAATAGAGGAAACTCAAACAATTCAAGTTTGAATTTAAGCAATACCTTTCTACGAATTACCTGCAAATCAAACTCATAGTAAATCTACACAGTGTTTTTTTTTCTTGCAATTGTATCTAATATTACGAACCTTTATGATGAATGCTGTTGAATTAATTAGGCTTTTTTTTGCTTCGTTTTACAGAAACACATTATAGCGTTCGCACATTTACTTCTACATATAAAAGCGTATCATTAATCAATTTTTATCATCGAAACGTGACAATCAATTTATAAAATAAGCATTTACTTTTCCTATTTCCGTTTGTATTCTGATGAAGTTAGCATGCTAGGTTTGTTAGAAGTCTGTCACCCAATAGAACATGCTTTTCAGAATATTTAATAGTAAATATCATCTTTTACATTATCGCGTTTAATCTTATTCTAGTTTTACCTTCATGTTGCAAGAATGTATGTGTAAAAATGACATGGAGATTGTATTCATCTTATAATGTTGAAGTCAGATAAGAAGAAACGAAGAAAGAAGAGGAGAAAGAAGCATGGCAAGAATAAGCAGCGTTCTATCAAGAGTAAATATTTTGATCAAATTAATTATAATAAAAATAATAATACGATTGTTTTATAGCAATTGCGCCGGTGGCAGATATGGAATCGCCAACTATTGTTCCATTGCCCTTGGATGTACCGCGGAAAGAGTCAAAAGAACAAGTAGAGAAAGAGAAAAAGCCTGAAGATGAAAAGCCTAGTGAACTAGAAGATAAAGGGCTTGATGATCTCGAACCACCATTAGCTGACTTGATCAGGTACTTTCATATTGGTACGATTTTTTTAATTTTATAATTGTTTAGATGTCGTGATTATACTCCCGATATTCTTAATTCGGCCAATGTCAAACATCTTTTCGATTTACTAGAATATTAATAAAAAATTTATAACCACGAAACGACTCTAAAAAACTAAATAAAAACAAAACAAATTAATGAACCTCGTCCTTAAAAGACCTTCTCGATTTGTCTTTGTATGTGTAGTCAGGTTCTTCCTCCCACAATCCAAGATTTCGCTCTCTTCCAAGCTCATCCTGAAATTTAAATGTTTCTATTATCACAAAATATTGGTAAGATACCTGTTTGTTGTAATTATGCTGCATCATAAGATACTTTATACGCTTTCGAAGTTCGTGCCACCTTCTAGGGGAATTTTGCTTCAGTTTGGAGTCATACAAATTGCGATAGTGCACCAATTTGATGAGCTCATTCGCCCTATGCTGTCCTAAATGTAATAATTTAATTTGGAAATTTCCTATTCATATTACCAGGGAACCCTCTTAACCAGGTTGGTGTATGATATTGAAGCTGTGCAGGATGAATTGAACCGTCTCCGAGAATATCGATATAATCGTTTTGCCCGAATCTAGCATTTTCAGTCGTCCATGGATCTCGAATTTTATAAGCAGGTCTCGCTACGGGAACTTTGCAATCGGGAATACGTGGAAGTGGATCTACACCATTCTGATGATAACGGAAATAATAGCCTGAAATTATATGCATTATTTTCGCTGTTTTTTTTTAAATTCAAACCTGCATCTGTATGCTTTGCAGAAGCTTTTTCACGATCATCAACAACTCTAGGAACCGAACTTCTGTCATGGAATGAACGAACACCCGCTATTCTCGACGCACAAACAAGCCTCGAAAGGCTTGTGCCAGCCAACATTCTGCAAATTCTGTATATGCTAAGTGTGCTAGCAAACATAATTCAAAATTCTTGGCGAGCTGCTATGGCAATATTTTTGGGACTTTAATTTTTGTCTTAAATTAAAAAATCTTTATTTGCAAATTTTTTTTGTTTGAAAATATTTTCATTGCGGACCTATTCATAAAATACGAAAAGTAACAAAATATTAATACATTTATTTTGCGTTTTCTTTACATTCCTAAATAAGAAACTCTTCTAAGTTTCGCATTTTTTTTATTTCATGAAGAGTCCCGTTAGTTTATTTTATAACTGGACGTAAAATATAAATAATGAATCTAAACGAAGGAAATAAACAAATTAAAGCCTATTGTACAACATCAAAAAATGTTGATCGACATCTGCGCTAAGCGATTTCTATTGGCACAGTTTTCGCTTCCCGTGGCGCAAAAAATGCGCCAACGACTTTTTTTTATTTTTTCATTAAATTGTTTAATACTTGCAAAGCTTTGCAACAATTTAATCATCAAAGAAATATGGTCAAGAAATATGGAAACATTCTTTCTTTGTTTTATATACGATAAAACTTATTTTTTAAAACTATACTGAACTATATATTTTCTTATAATTAAAATTGGTATTTGATAGGAATGCTGTATTTGTTGAGTGGTGCAACCATTTTGAAAATTTCCGCGTTGAAAATTAATATCAACGTAGTGAGGCAGGTTCTACTACTATATCTCATTTTCCATCAATATATTTTTGTCTCGTCGATCTCGATCGGATTACCGTGAATCGTTTTGTGTCGCTGAAACATGCAATTTTCAATATTTTTCCAACCAAACATTTTTTTATTCAATCATTCGGAATCTATGTCGAAATTAGGCTAATTTGGCGAGAGAAGATGTCGACTCCAATTTTTGTTATTGATTCTTGTGTAAATAATACTTACTATTTATATATTGCGTTTAAAAAGAATTTATAAGTGTTGCTCGTAGTATTCATATCTTTACCTTGAACTTGGTTTCAATAAGTAACTGGAATTCCCAGATTAGTATTTTTATGAGTCCAAATACAACCGGTTTTCTGACCCCATTCACATTCAATGTCTTATCTGACTACTCTTTATCGTAATTTTCTTATTTTTAGATGAGGCTTCATCTAATCTTCATATTTATTTTGATTATCGTATGCTCGAATGCTCAAAACGACGATGTTAATCCCGAAGATGTCGATGACGTAAAACCACCAGTAGAAGTAGATTCAGTTGGACAGGATGCTGATGTTCATGATCCAACGACGAAAGGTAAATCATTTTAGTAGTAAAATGGAACGACCGAGGAATTGAAGCTCTCGAAACGACACCGATAATGTTAGCGACCACATCTGTATCTAACGGAACGATAGTGGAAGAAAACCAAAACACGGTTTGCCAAATTGAATTTCTTTGAATGAGAAAGAAGTTTGCAGACACTCTCGGAGACTGAAAAGAAAGAAGAATTATTGACGGGAAAAGAGGTTTGTGTTTTCTGTAAAACTCATTGGCATCCGATCTTACTGATGCGAGTTTTCTAATTGTCCGAGTGGTGTCCGCGAATTTTTGAGCGTTGGCGTCCGATCTGAGTCTACTGCTTATCCCATTAAATGCCCTAACGGTGTCCGCAATTTCTGTTTCTATAGAAAAAACCTTCCGCGGGATTTAACGAGATTTCTTTCAAATTTATATAGCGATAATTATTTCAGGAAACGAATCCAATTTTGGCTCAATCTCTAAATGAACTGGTCACGATTGCTGTTGCGCCTGGTAGTAGAATTTATTTATAATGTATATATGTATCAATTATTCAGAAACAAAATTGCCATTTGAAATAAATGCAGAGAAAGACGAAAAAGAAAATCAAGAACCACAGAACGACAAAGAAAATGCTGCACCAGAATTTGATGTAAAGCCTGATGTCGAAGGGGGAAAAGGAGAAGAAGTAATTTTTCACATCTTCAGTTAGAAAAGAAACGAAAAGCTGGCTCCCCGTTTTTAGGATCCTGATGCGAACGTAGATAAGCCAGTGCAAGTCGATCCACCAAAAGACGAAGCTGATGGCGCGGCGAAAGAAGACAGAGAAACTGCTGCAATTGGTTCTGAAGGACTTCATGAAGCCGTCGAAGAAGCTCGAGGAAATCCAGGAGCAGTGGCAGAAGTTAAAAAACCGATCACAGATGAAGAACAAACGCTGGAAACCGCTCCAATCATTCGGCCGCATAGAATTGATTCAATGGTTCGTACGTCTAATATGTAGTCATATTTTGAATGTATGAAAAATTTTAGAAAGAACAGAATCGGCAATTGGAGCAAATTGTGAGATCTGATGAATCGACCGGATTCATGTCGTTCTTTTTTGTCGCAACCTTCCTAATTGTCTGTATATATTTACTCCAGCACAATAAGAAGAAGATCTTAGGTTGATTTTCTAAATCACAAGTCCAAGACTAATTCGATTTAATCGTTTAGGATTGATGTTTGAAGGCCGAAGATCTGGTGGTCGCCGTGGGGGAAATGTCAAATATCGTAGATTAAGTCAAAGTGATCAAGATTAATTTATGGTAATTGTTCGCATAATACCTGTGAATATTCAAATATCTAATTTATTGCATGCAATACCTAATTAACACATTCTTTCACTTCTCAAAGTTCTCATTTCCACTGATGAGTTTCCATTGTGATATGAGTACGCCGCCTTAGCTTTACACGTATTATCCTGTTTTTCGTCGCATTTTTGTTATTGTTCTTATGAAACGCATTGTCATGTACGGTTTATGTATTTATCCATGTGCCTTGTATGTTTTATTAAAAATAAATTTGTGTGTTTACGATAACTCAACTTCGGAGTTCTTGCGATAAGCTGGTGGAGGAGGAGTAGTTGGAACCTCGACAATGCCAATAGGTTTCTGAATATTTCAGCGTTAATGAGCTATAATTTCTTTCTAAACCTTTGAGTTGTTATTATTCAAGTCAATGTTTGATTTTGGTTGTGCGGAAGGTGTTTTCTTGAATGGAACTGTTTCACCAGCTTTAAACTCGGTTCCACTGAAAATTCGAATATGCTATTTATCATGAGAATGCCGACGTACTCTCCCTTCCATTCGTTGCATTCGTCGAATTGACAACAACAGAATGTTTCGTCTTTGGTTACGAAATGACAGCCAGAAACCTTTAACGAATCTGTGCATTTTATATTTTCCAAAAAAAAAACAAACCGGGCATTTTTCTTCCATACTGTGCTCGTCGCTCCAAGAGCTGCACTCTCTTCTGAAACCACAAATTGAGCTTATTAACAAACCAATTAAAACCTCATTTGATCATTCTTCTTGTTGATTCGTTGAATACAATAATTCGAAATTCCTCCGCATTCCTTTTTCTCAGTTTGAATATTATTGTTCAAACCAATCACAGTGCCTTCGTAACAACGAAGTGCCAAACCGAATGAGACCAGGAAAACCGTGGTCAGAGCGATTATTTTAAACATACTGAAACGTGACGAATGGAAAATGAAAACTCAAAAACCGAATTTTTTGGGTTTGAGATAAATCGATGATGTATCAAGAAAGACAGCCGAAGTATTACACAAACTGAATTGTGAGAGCGTCAGTGATAACAAACAACTCATTATTTATTTGTTTTCTCAATGATCTTTTGTTTTTCTTGTAAAACACAAAAAAAAATCCAAAAATTCCATTAATAAATTATCGCGAAAGAAAAATATTAAATAAGCAAAGAAGAAAACCCGGAATTAAGTTAGATTAGGAATAGACATAATTTCCAGGAAAATAAATGGGAGGGATTGTTAAAGAACCGCATATCCTGAATATGTTCAAAGTCAAATCACGCTAACTATATGCTAAAAAAATGTTGAAATTAATTGTTAAAGTCGTCTTCGAGAGCATAGCCCCATCGCGTAGCCGAGAGATCGCTTGTGGCGGCATATCGATTGCGGTTGCGGGCAACAGCATGATTGCTGGACTGGCGGAGGACAGCAAGTTTGAATCTAGAAGTATATGAGTTGAGCGGAAAGATAAGATATGTATCAATAGATTTGTAACCTGTTGATTGCAACATGGCATTTGCTGCGGTTGGCAACACGTTGATACCATCTGATTACAACAAGCCGATGTCTGTGGTGGACAGCACGAGGGACTGCAACCGCCGCCGCCGCAAGATGATCCGCCTCCACAACCACCGCATGACGATACGCCACCACATCCTCCACCACATGGTGAACCTCCTCCACATCCACCACCGCAGCCTGAGCCACATGAGTTTCCACCACATCCTCCACCACATGATGGTCGTTGTTGGCAAGGGTTAAAGTTGATCGGCATGCAAAGTCCGCCTTGCTGACTGAATAATTGCCCACCACAACATCCTTGCGGGCTTGGTCGTGGATATCCGCCGAATGGTTGCGGAGGAGGTATTGGTGGTGGTGGTGGTGGTGGTGGGAGAGATTGAATGTATGCGGAGCCTGGTATGGGAGGTTGCTGCGGAGCCTGGTATGGGAGGTTAAGCTGAAAAAGTTCCCCCAATAAATAAAGAATAACAATTAAATTACAGCTGGCGCAGGCCGAAGATAAAATGGTCGTGGTGTCGGTCTTGGTCTATAAGGTTTTGTTGCAGGATCAACTTGAATTCGAATAGGTTGAGGTCGTTGAGCAGCAGTGTTTTCAATTGTTGGCTCACCTCTGAAAATTAATTGTTAATTGCAAATATTGACTAATTACTTTAAAATAAGGTGTTGAAATCAGACAACTCATAATGAACTTAAGCAATGTCATTACTCTTACCCATAATTTCCAGAATGTGACGTCGGTGAAACTACTTGTGGAATTTCCTCACTAATACTGCTGAAAATGAGTCAACCGTTTCCACAGTGAGCAAAAGGTCCCCAATATTATTAGCTGGCAACACTCCGTATTAAAGAAACCCCCAAACTCGAGGTGCCGTTTAAACAGCTTTCAATATAGTAGTATGGAACCAGATACTACTATGTGTATTTAAAAAAACGTGATTTTCAGCTTGGCAGTGCTTTCTAACATTTTTTCGCACGTCCATTTATTTTATATCCCAACACACCGATCCCATTGGTTAGTAAACAGCGCTGCTTTAGTGAATATCACTTGATTTTTTTCGAGTTTGGGTGCTATCGTTATCCACATAATGTATATTACATTAAGAAAATAACACTCATCGTTAACACAAACACCAAAACGACGTGTCTTCCGACCCATTTTTGAATACCTAATATCCTCTTCCAAATTTTCATGCTCCTCCTCGATCGGAGTTTCCTCATGAGAATGGGATTCAATCTCTTCCTTACTACTATAAATGCCAACAAAAAACATATCATTCTACTAGTTAATATTAATTAAATCCACACACTCTTACCCAAATATCTCAGTATTATGATCTTCATCGAGATCGCTGAAATGACTTGTGGAATGAAATTGAAATGTTAACACACCTGTAAGAAGACCCTCCAGAAGGTTGTGAAGGCGGTGGTGGTGCTTCTGGTTTAGCAGGCGGCTCATAGTCTTCTTCGATGTTGCTGTACGTTGCTCCTGCCGTATATGGGCCTGGATTGTTTGGTTCTTCAACAACGGCAGTTTCTGTGTGGTCCTCTTCGATATTGCTGAAACGATCGAAGATAAACAAATGAGCATTTTCTAAATTTAGCTTACTTGTATGTTGATTGTCCCCGATATGATAAATTCGAATCGATAGATTCGGCATTCTCGATTATGTTAGATTCAGGAACCACAGCAACACTTTGCGAAGGGTTTACTGGCAATGGGACCGGTTCTGGACCTTGCGCTCCATAGGTATGTTCTTTTGGAAGGGACGGAAGTGGCGGTTGATACGGCGCTGCTGTCGTTTCTGGTACATATGGTTGAGGTGGAGGATTGTATGGGGCTGAGGATGGCGATGGAATCGGAGCAGAAGTCATCGCGGGAGTTTCAGGAGCATATGGTTGAGTCTCTGGATTGTATGGAGCTGGGGATGGCGGTGGAATCGGAGCAGAAGTCATCGCGGGATTTTCAGGAGCATATGGTTGAGACTCTGGATTGTATGGAGCTGGAGACGCTTGTGATGAAAGGGAAGATACTGGAGCATTCGTAGCCGGCGGAGATTCTGGTGAATAAGGTTGAGATTCGGGATTATAAGGCGCTGGAGGTGGAGGTGGAGGGGCCGGTACGCTGGGGGCGTATGGTTGAGGTTCGGGATTATAAGGAGCCGGTGACGCCGGCGGAGGAGAAGGAGGAGGAGCCGGTGTTGCTGCAAGGGTTTCCGGAGCATATGGTTGAGGTGCTGGGTTGTAAGGAGATGAAGAGACTGATGCAGGAGGTGGTGGAGCTGTCTCAGGTTGAGGATTGTACGGAGGTGGAGCTGGAGGAGGTGACATTGTGATTTCATATTGATGAACAGTCGGCTGAGGAGATGGGCCATATGTTGATGGAACTGAATGAGGTCCTTGATTCAATGTAATTTGGAATTGATAAAAAGAACCTGAGTATTCTAATATTTGATCTATTATATTCGATTCTACATAAAGATCTGCAAGGTTTTTTTGAATCAAAACAAAACCGTGCAAATCTATTGAAAATCTATTGATAATTCAAACTTAAACAAACTTACTTGAATCTGGATTCTCGGGCTCATACGGAGTCTCCTCTGATTCATCTGTAATTATGGATTTGGAAATTAACTTAGATAGCATGCACAAAATACGTTGATTATGTTCCGGCTCAACATGCTCGTAAACATGCGGTGTCTCTACAGCTGGTTGAACTGTAACATTAGCTTTTGCTTCTGTGGTCGGCTTGGTTTCAAATGAAACGCTAGTTGATGTAGCAGGCGATGGGTTAGAATCCACTGAAGTGGATAAGCTAGCGGATTCTGTGATCTGGCTGTAAGCAGAACTGGGTGTTGTGGCGGAAGGAACTGAATAAAGCATATCTTGAGAAGCTAAAAACGAAGAACGGCATTAGTTGGATTAGCAAGACATACGGAATACCCAAAGAAGCAGGTGCAATCGATGGTGGTGATGGTGATGTTGTGGGTGGCTTTTGTGTTTCAACAGAGATTCCCATTGGGAGATTAGTTATATATTCTGGATCGGGTGGTGGTGCTGGGGGCATAAATATGGAAGAAGCCATGGACAAAACATCGTTAGGAAGCGAACTCAAACCGTCTGATTCAACATCCGAACTCAAGGGTTTTTGTGATGACACTCCAATGTCTGGATAACCCGACGATGGGGACTGCACAGGATTGGCATTGTTAACAGTGCTCTTGCCCAGAGGAATATCTACGGATACGTCTGCAGGTGGTGGTATTGGCTCTAGAAGAGGTAAACTTGGTGCGGAAGGAAATGAAGATGAACCATCGATGTTGGTGGAAGAGCGCGATTCGTTCTGATTAGGTGCACTAGAAACTGAAGGAGGTGTGATGCTATAGGCATATGGTGAAATACTCGGACTCGCATAGGCTTCTGAAGGTGGTGCAGTGCTCTGTTTACCTTCAATTTGGTCGGGGAGCTCAGGAGCTGGTGGGCTCACATCGACAGCAGCCGGAGTATCGGGTGAGGGCGAATAGTCGGGAATGGGTGGTGGACTTGGTGATGCTGGTGGTTTTAAATCAGTTCCTGCAGGAATGTCTGGAGTTGGAGAAGGATCCAGTGGTGATGGTGGGGGCGGTAGAGTAATCATAATTGTTCTCTCCGAGCCGTACTCGGCAGGGGGTTGTGATGAGAATTCTGCAGGAGTCGGCGGGGGTGACGGTGGCAGTGGGAGCTCTGCGGAAGATGATGGTGATGATGGTGTGGAAGGAGGTGCCGACGCGGGGGCATATGGTGCAGAAGTAATGGAAGCAGTCGGTGGAGCAGGTGGTTGGGTTTCCATACTTGGCGATGGTGGAGGTGGGCTTAGAGGGAATTCCGAATTGTCCGGTGAACCATACGGTGCCGGATCTGGGCCAGGACCCTCTTTGGGAATCTGAGGAACTGGTGAAATTGATGGTGAGATATCCACAGTAGGAACTGGTGGAATATAGGGTGCAGAAGCAGGAGGAGGTGCTGAAGAAGGTGAAAGAGCTGGCGGAACTTCAACCGTTGGAGCGGTTGCCACAGGTTCAGGATTAATGTTCTCGTATGTAGGACTACCTGTGCTGATAGTGATCTTTGGCGGAGAGTAAGGTTGCTCAATCGAAGGAAGAGGTTCAACGACCGGAAGATTTTTGTTGATCGGTTGAGGTGCTGGCTTATTTGCAGTCTCGCAAGGAACACAGTAGAGCTTGGTGTTCAGAGATTGGTCAGCTTGATTGTCGACAGTCTGTGGTTGAGCATAATGCGTTGATCGTGGCTTTTTGAAATTGATTGAATCTGAAATTTAATATCTGCGAAGAGCATTGTATACTTGAGCTACCCAATTCTTTGCTCTCCTCGTTGGCCTCTTCAGAGTCTGAAAAATAATTAATTGTTTAAAATTGCATTCATTTGATTTGTGAATAGGGTTAATCATGCAGTACGTTGGTTTTTTGTGGTAGTGGCTTCAGTAGAAGTAGTAGTAGTTGTTGTTGTTGTCGTCGGAATTCCTAGATTATGCTCAGTATGCCGACTTCCTCTTTCCAAGAATTCATCGACAGCCGAAAAATCACCGCTCAACGGTGAATGCAAATCGGTTGGCTCAATTCCAGGAGAATTCCTTTTCATCGGAACTGGAGAAAAGTTCTCGTGGACAAGTGTTCTTGGAATTGCAGATAATCCTAATTAGAATGTTGATTAGCTATTAGAAGGATTGATTAGATCGGTACCATCGTATCCATCTGGAAAAACACCGCCATGAACACCATTCTCTTTTTGCCAATTTTCTAGGTTACGTCCTAAAATGTTGGTTAGGTTATTGTTGTAGTTTATCACAGTTAAAAGGATGTTCCAAGAATTTTGAAAATACCTTCATTTCCTCCCAAGTATCCACTCGGCTCCAAATATGTCTATAGTAATTCGTTTTGAGATTGAAATGATCGATAAAGACTTACCTCTCGTTTTTTCGGTTCTTCGGCACTTTCTGGAGTTTCTGTACTCTCGTCAGAATATTCTGATTCATCCGAATCTTCAGCTACAGTTTCTTAATTGTCGTTGTAAAAATGAAAATATGTATATTTTATGTGAACACTTTCAACGTGAACACTAAATTTGGTGTTTTAGAAGAGAAAGGCAAATAATTTAAATTAAGCTAACTAACTAAATTTTATTTTAAATGGTTGCCATTCAAATATGGACAAATTAATAATTAATAACATAATTAACATAATTAATTGAACACGTTGTACATTTGTGAATTAGTTGGTTGATTAATGACTCAAAAATAGTTTTCTCAAAATAAAGGATTTAAAAATGCTGCAATATTATAAATGTTAGATACGACAAACCCCGATTCCAAAGTCTTTTCGACGTTGTCGAAATGAGTCGCGATGGCGCCAATGGCGGTTTTCCGGTGATAACCGTATACCCGTCGTCATACGTTGTTAGAACATTTCGCGCTGTCTTCTGATTTCTGCCGGACGAAGCACCCAATAGGAACACTTTAAATGTTAGTTTGCCCAAAAGTTAGTTTTCAAATTCACACTGATACTCAAACCTAGATTGGAAAAATCGCGACGCTCCAATTTTTTGTGTTCCACTTTGCCCGGATTCGGATCATCTCGTCGCCAAGAACCGGGATCACTGAAATGTAATCATATGCAAGTGAAACTCTCGATCGACCCGCGTAATTGGATTATATGAATACTCGTTCGCCCCACAAATTTCTTAGCTTCCTATTGTTTCTACCAATTTTGATGCCCAAATGGCGGTTTGGGAAATAAAATGAAAATAATTGCGTCATAATATTAATTGAGATGATCCCATTCCTTTTATGAATGACTAACACCCAAAAGGCGTAAAAAGCCGTGTTCCGAACGAAGGAGAAGCAAAACAAAACAAGAAAAGGGAACTTGTTTTATTTTTATCGCTTCTTCTTGCGGATGACCAACGAAGCGATTGGCCGCCCATGGCATCTCATTACCAGTTACATGATTTCGATTAAGCCATTTCTGTCGAAGCGTGACGAGTGTCAAAAATACTGTAAACACGGCTTCCTGTCAATATAGACACCGATCTTTGCAATATATGCTTTTAGAGGATAATGCCGTTCGCAAAAAATATACACATGCATGTTTGATTTATGCTTCATCCACAGTATGAACCAAACAGGATTAATATCCATTCTGAGCCATTTGTAGCCTTATATAGAAGGCAGATTTAATGGCGTATTCCATATATTATGTGTAATTATGAAATGTTTGAAGATAAAGATCTTTTTTAGCATATGCTTATAGGTCACCAATTCAAATCCTCTAAACATGTTTCATTGTTTGCCTCAAATTACAGCATTCAGATTACCGGCGCAGTTTAATTTTGTAAGCAAAACTCGCTTCTTGCGTTTGACTTTTGCTAAATTTCATCTCTCCTATTTCGAATATCAACGTAGCGCATTCTCGAAAATTTTCGGAGAATAACTGTCGTTTGAAAGTGAATTTTGAAAGATCAAACTCCAAAAAAATCAACTTCAACTTGTTTGAACCTCTTACATTTCGGCATAAATCATATTGCATATATAATTTAAAATTAATTGAAATATATGTGGGAAATTCCGAAAATAAACTTTAAAATTACGCGAATTATTCGAATATCTGAGAATGTCGAATCGAATGAGAACCAGAGAAATCAGAATTTTGTAATAACCTAGGTTTCGGGTATATGAAAATAAAAAATAAAAATAAAAAACGAGCACCCTGTTTAGTTAGGTTTCATAGGTTATCTGTAGTACGGTACCCGAGTTCAAACAGCTCAAATCAAAATTCAAACTACCGCGCCAAAAAAAATTGATGATCCACAATTATTCAAAGTGTTTGTTTTTTTTATCGGTAAGATAAAATTAGGATTTGGGACCTCATCAGCTTAATTAATTTATAAAAGAGTACAACTGATTATAGTTAGCTATGTGGTTTGATTACTCAGTAATTCGTTAGAGCCAAACCCAAAAGTTCTTCTGGAAATAAACGATACAGTTCTGGTGGTCCGAATAGTGCTAGCATTATGAGTACGACACTCCAATTACATATTATTCATAATTTACAAATCAGTTTAAACTATGAGCTGTTTTTGTTTCAACATTGAATTCCTCTCATTTTTGTCAAAAAATATATAAAGACACAAAAAATATGTTTCGTTTGGTTACCTGAATCGTGATCTATAGATACGGTATTGTTGTGCAGCAACTTGTTGGCACAATGCCATAAAAAGAAAAAGTAAAATAGCGAGCCTCATGACCTAGTTGGCAGCCGTTCAGGTGTTTGGCATTAAATGAAATATGAGATTGCTTCGATCGAATCGGAAAGTTTTGGTGCCGCGCAGCTGATCGCATAAGGCGTGGCTTCTTGTGTGTGCGTGTGTATCGTCTGAATGTACTAGTTTGTTGATCGAACACGCAGATTGGCGAGGCGAAAGTCGAAAAGGCTACACAGCGCCGCTCACACTCGCACAAGCCATATGTCCGAATTCGGCCCTGTGATTAGATGCCGCATCACTTTTCACGACGACGGATCTTGCTGTTCGTCCATGATTTTTTTTTCGACCAAAGAAAACAACACCTTATTATTTTATTGTTGTCGTCGAGGTCGATTCCGAAAAACACGCAAAATCCGCTTTTCGCTCAGACCGGACTCGATGGCTTTTCTCAGAAATACATTACTGTATGTATGGAATGCTTCTCGTTAGTAGGTTGTGTTGAGAAAATGAGAATCGGTTCGGACACATTTAAAGAAATTGGAAATTAAAAAAAAACACACTAAAAGATAGAATATTAATCAAGGGAATGAAGCAATCCAAAAATATCACGCATTTTTAGTACTGGTATACTGAAAAATTTCGAAGAAAAAATAAATAACTGATTAAAAGAAGCTTTACTGTAATTTTCACGGGAGTTAAAATTTTTTTCAGTTTTTTTTTTCGAAATTTGCATGATATCAATTTGAGCTAAACATATTTATCAAGAGAGTTCTTTTTACGCGATATTGAGTTTATCTATGATCATTTAGTGCATTAATTTCCCAATTCCATGTAGAAAACGAGGATGTATTTTGGGCATTCTTTAGATCATTGATAGATCAAACCAAATGACATTCAATCATAAATAAAAGGAGCAAACTTACCGTTAGGCAAATGAACAAATGTGGGTCCCAAGTCTAGTAATTCGGTATTATTAAAAATATATCACAAATGTTTTCCAGTGATTCACTTTTTAAATATTATCGAAGGCAACCAACTAGCTACTTTTTTTTTACATTTTTTTGCAAAACACTACATTTCATGAATAGGTCAATTTAAAAAATGTAAAAATTACACTTTTTGCAGGTACACAATCGTCGGGTGGTTTTCACCGTTATTGGTGAAACAGGCAACCGTTGCTTCTCCAAAAACGAAAAAATCCACTGCTTCGTCCGATGAGTTTGCCGAACATTTTCATTGAAATGCGCGTCAAGTTGAGTGCAAGAATATATGAGTCCGTAGATTTAGGAACATGTGTGTGCACTGATCATGAAATCCGTTTTTTTTTGCAACCTCGTTTTTCATTGGAGAAAGTTTTGCCATTTTTATACAACCAAATAATCTCTTTTATCACATTGATTTCAGAAAATTAACGATTATGACCGATTGTAACTGACAATGACCGAAAAAATTAAAAAAAAAAGCGTAAGTTAATTAAATCATTTTTTATAGAAAATTTTTTGGATGTAAATGATATTCTGAACTATTATTGTTGCTATGCTATCAATAGTTCCGCTAAAGTAGGTAAAAGGAACGAAATAAGATGTTCTTGAGGCTAAATTAACAATGTTACATTTATATTTTGCACCAGCACGCATCTATCAAAATTTGTTGCGTGACCAAATCGTTTCGCACAAATGTTTACTGATTTTCTCTATCTTAAACAATATCGAAAATTCGGTGAAGGAAATTAATTTCCATCATACGAAATACCAAAATTTTCCATAACCGCCACACTTTCAATAATAATTTGATCGTTTTGAGTGCGAAATCTCGACTGTTTTGCATTCGAAATCGAATTTCATGTTGTTTTCTTGATTGATGAATGCTGGATTACTTGAAATTCACGCCACTTGACCGCTGCATAATTACCTCTGGTCTCCCTCAATTCATTGCCGGCTTTCTCTATATATCACATACGTATAATTTTCTTACTAAAAAAAGCGATACTGGTCTTCTTTACCACTTTCTCCGCTAATTTATTCGATTTATGTATGTCCCACCTAAACTGGTCTTATCACTTCCATTCATCTACGATGTTGCAATGCAATGGCAGCACAGGACAGGCGAGCGAAAACGGAGACACTCAAACAACACACCTAACATAAGCACATTCGTGTCTGCGGTCTCTCGCCGACTGCTTGGCGCAATGGTAGCGCGTTCGACTCCAGATCGAAAGGTTGGGCGTTCGATCCGCTCAGTGGTCAGAATTTTTGGTAAATTATTCACTAATTTGCTGGTTTCGATGATGCTCCTCGTACTCTTGTGGTGCTGGCACATTTTTTGAATGTGCTATACCGAACTTCCTTGGAAAATATTAACATGGACATTAATGGCAAAAATGTCATTAAATAATTAATCCAAAAATACTGAAAATACGTGATTGAGTGATAAGAGCGGGAGGAAGATTCTCACCTGTTGGGCAATAGTTTCCAGCGATTTATAGTCTTCTGGGGAGTATAACTGGATGCACATTCGTATAATTTGTTGGCCGCACATCATCACAGCTACCAAGAACAGAACGGCCGAATAAAATATGAGACCCTAATTGATTTTTTGAAAGTTATAAAAACTGGATAAAAGTCACCCTTTCATTAATATCGACGGAAAAGTCTGGATTGCTTCGCTTCAAAGATATACACTTGAGAACAATCAAAATATTTAAAATAATTCCAATAACCGCATACGTTGCACAAACTATGATATTGATTTTCTTCACAAACTGAGCCAAAATTAATTGAGAAATATATATATTTTTTAAGGTAAATCTCACAATGTCAATGTCTTTTGGTAAACTCCCAATTGTCCAAATATTTTCAGAAGTGTCAAAAGTATATGGGATTGGATATCGAAAATAAAACAGTTTTGAAACTATCGCGACTGTGTACTGAAGAATAATTGCGGGAATAACAAAACATGGAGTCCATAGCTGAAAGATGTATTTCAAAAAATTAGCTTATCAGGTTTCCTTCTGAAATAGATGGCTAGCTAGAAGTGCCCATCTCCATCAATATTTGGGATTAAATCTCCCTTCCACGTGCACTATTTTATTTCAAAGAAAAATGATTAGTCGAACTGATAAAATGACGAAACAGGGTCATATTTTAGTTAACGGGACCCGATGAAATAGCAGATCGCGCGGTTCAAAATCCTCCGCTCAAGACTATACCTTTAAATGGAATTCCGGTGTTACAACCGATGTGAATCGATTAAACTGCAATAGGATATTGCCAATCAAATGGCCTAATATGGCAACGTCGCTCAAATAATTTGCCCACATGAATGCATCTGCTTGCTCAGGGCCTAAATGATATTGGATGCTCAACCGTAAGTACATGTTCGAAACAATCGATAGAACATCCATGAAACCTTAAAAACATCTATTATATTGAATCAATAATGAGGGTTTCTTAGCGCGACTGCGGAAAATGGGCTAAATTACAAAAAAAACTATGGATTGGATCGTGGCGCAAATTTAAAAGTGTAAATTTACGAGCGTACGGATAGGTTAAAGGCGCATATCGCGAGCCAAGAGCTCTTCTTGAAATTGCTTGGTGTTTTGCCAATTTTCCGCAATTTTTCTCGACAATACCTGTGCTTATAAAAATATGGAAGAAGGGCTTTCGCAGATTCGGTCGGGATGTCGTGACGAGACCAATGAGAACAGCGAGATACAGTATCATACAATAGATTTCCAGCGTTGTTTGTGGAACGGCTGTCAGGCTGTCTGTCATGGCTATAATTTTGATCGACGTCGAGTGTTATTTCGTTATTATTACCGAGTGTTTTTCGAGAATGAACACGTATCAACAAGAAAACATTATCGCAATTCTAAAAAACGATAACAATTTACAGATAATTGCCTAAAAAGTGGTAAATAGGAATCAAAATGAGGATTTGAGACAAAATATTTGAATAATATTAATTAGAATTTAAATGTACAAGGATTAAAAATTTGTGAGCAATCCCATCGTTTAAAAGAAAAATTTCTCGAAATCAAAACACATTTTATTTAAGAAATAAAATGATATGATGGAATTGAAATAATATTGTTTTTTCTTATTGGTTCTTATTTGAGAAAAAAGTATACGGAAATGAATAAAAGAGTCAAAACAAAGAAGTCGATTGGGCGATATATTCAACAAAAAATATTTTATTAATCGAAAAAAAATGAATGAATTGAACATTCCTTTTCAGTTTTTGAGAAAATTTCAAGTCGATAGCAAAATTCTTTCTTAAAGTGGAAATAATTGAAAGAAGGGTAACTAATGTTTCAATAGATCAAACGTATCTTAAGTGTAGTCGGGGGTTCTGCGACTAGAATAAGCGGGTAGATTTACGAGCATGCGCTTGTTGACATGGTCCCCGTGTATTTTCATTCTTGTGCTCATTTTGATAGTTTTCAATTTCAATGGCCTTAGAAATTCACGGAAATATCAAACTTATCAAAAAATTTCATGTGAAAGTAATAAAATAAACGTTCGCATGAGGAGAGACAATTCCGAAAAGCAGGCTTGTTGATTCGGCCGCCGGTCGGATAGGTCCAACCGGGTCATCTCGTGATCCGACGATAGCCCATCCATTCTGATCTCGGCTTCGCCTATATTAGATTGAGAGTAATCTACTTGTGGCTGCACCAATCTCGAAATGATATCACTCCATTCATATCGTATATGATTAAAATCCGATTACCACAAATCTTAATGTATCGTATCCACTGTTTGAATGTTCAATTGTCTATAAATGTCGATTCGCCGTTTCCACATGCTAATCCGATGCCATGCAGGATTATGTGCAAATCCGAGAGCATCGACACTTTGAGCTGCCAAAATCTGCGTCGGCCATCTATCGGAAATGAGATTATACGGCCATTTTTATTTATAACCAATAATGTTTTTTCTTTTTTCTGTTTCTGTTCGCCTCAATTTTTCAAATTCATACATTCTGTTGGGTTTCCCATGCATAATTGTTCAATTCAGTGGTGTTCATGGTCCCTTTGAATAATTTATTCCATTTAATTTCATTTTGTTTCTTTTTTCTTTCTGTTTTTTTGCGAATAAGTCCATTTTCCTTTTTTTAAACAATAGGTTGTTCCGATTGTCGACAAAAAAAAATTTTAATTGTGTGTCGTTGGTCGATTTCGCTTGCCAAGATTTCTCTCAAGTTTTGACATATTTTTGTTTTCCACCATTATTTTTGTGGTCCGTTTCATGAATTATTCAAATAGCTCACTTTTTCAGAATCAATATGATTATGTTTGACGTTTTGATCCAATTATTCAGAATTATATGTAGTTTATCATTGAGTTTTACATATTGACCTGATTATATTCAATTCTATGTGTAATCCAGTTTAAGTCAAACCAAAATCAGTTCTCGGGTGAATTCAATAATTATACCCCATTAAATGTAACAATTAACCCCCAAATTAGGAAATTACCACCTTAATTAATAATAAATAATTGTTATGTAGGTATTAATTAAAATCTCGGCATTAAATAGTTGTCACGTTGATAAGCAACGATTTTTTCAACAAAAAATTGGAATCGTTTTGGCGAAATATTGATTTTATAAAAAAAAGTTGGTTTTTTTTTCTGGTGAGCGAGATTCTGGAAATTCGGTAAAAAATCCCAACCAGAGTGGCACCCCGACCCCAACAAATACCATCGATTCCTTTTAATGATAGGCACGTTTACCAATTGTTCTTCAATTTGAGGAGGAAGTGAGAAGGATGATAGTGGACCAGTAAGTTATTTTTCACGATAGCCCCTCATCTGTTTAAGCTGTTTTTCCGCAAAAATATAGCAATATATTTCTTCCTTATATCGGATCCGATAGAAAAAAATTGCGCATATCTCGAAACATGAATTCTTCTCGCCACTGACCGGTGCTCATAATTGGAAACCTTACATGTTCTTCGATTTATCTATCATGTGAATAGTACGATGGGGATTCTGTCAAGATTTGATTTCGCCAGAACATGTTTACTCTGAAAATCGTAAAGAATATTTAGAATATTCAATCAGAGGCGACATCGACTCTTTTAAACAAATTGTAAAATATAGGCAAGCAATAAAAGTAAGTTGTGCGACTATTTTCTAATGCCTATGAATTCCTACTTCATATTCTATTTTCAGTAAAACTTTAATTCGTGAAAGAAATGTGGAAGATCGAAAAAGCCCGTCCGTTTGAAAGTTTTCTTCTGTTTTTTTTTCTCGTTTTTGTCTGTTTACACACTGACGCAATTTTGCACACATTTTAATTCAGACCAATCAATTTCGAGATGGGATCCTATAAAAATTGATTTCTTTAATCTTCTTTGAAATAAATAAATTGAAAAATTAATTCTTATAAAAAAAGATTTTCATAGCAATTTTAGAAATTTTTTAAATTATTTTTTTTTCATTAATGTGCATGCAATTCAAGCATTGCAAAAAATCTGAAACCGAAATTGCATTTCCACATTTATTTTTTTTTCTATACTTCAAAAAATATTTATACTAATTTTATATTTTTAATTTGCTAAAAATAATTAAAAACTGAATCCAACCTAAATTGTTTTTTAATTATCTAAAAGTTGTCTCTCTTCGAAATTATGGAGCATATTAGTCAAAAATGCTTTATTTTAAAAATTTTTCATTTCGTATATCAAACATTATTATTTATTCCAAATTAGACTAATGAATTTCTCCTTTCTCATCTTTTTATTCTTTTTTTTTCGGCCGGCAATCAACTTGTGCAAATTGTTGAAGTTGAAGTCTCATTGAGGTTCATTTGTTGTTTTGCTGAAACTGAAATTAAAATCCAAAAATAAAAGCTAACGCGAGGTGTAAGACCGGAAATATATCATCGAATTCGGTTTCCGAATAAATTTGTTGTTTAATACAGGAATGTGAATACTTTTAGCAGATAATAAACCATATAATTAGTCAATTCGACGATCATAATTTCGAGTGAAAAGGATGTGAAAAAAAAGAAAACAAACTGAACACACTGGATTTTCAATCTGCCGATTAAACGGTTTATGTTGTTATGAATTGACTCGGTGAAATCATATTCACTGAATTTTCAAAGGCTTCGATTTATCTGTAAATCCAAGCGCTCTTTTATTTTCAACAATTTTCTCATTTTTTTCATAATCTAATTTTTGAATTCAAAAACATAAATTGGAAGATGCATTTGAGTCAATTCCAATTATAAAACTCCTCCTATTGCGAGGCCGATGATCCCGTCTGGTATTAAAAACGCTTCGTTGAGTTTTTGCGAACATTGCGCCGGATTAGATGTCGTAATCGATTTCACCGAATGTGATATATTTGTGCCCATGTGCACTTGACGCCTTTTAATTATCAAGCCATGATGAAACTTTCGTCTTTTCATTTCGCATTTTTTTTGCGTTGGCGAATGTTGCACGAATTAATTCGGAAAATCTCGCAGACAATCTCTCCAGATCTTCATTTGTGTGCACATCGTTCGAACAAAGAAAAAATTGCAGACAATTTTCAATTTTCGGTTTCATTCGAAAATGTTTCTCAAAAGGAAATGAAGTTTGGAATTTCATTTGTAATTATTCATTTGATTCCGCCGTTTACTACGACCCATTCAGAGCAGGTGAATTATTAGACCTTGCAAGTAATTTATGCTAATTTATTGAAAACTAAAGCTTGTCTAGATATATGATCTTCTTATTAGATTTATTCAATTCGTCTCACGTTCTTTTGCTTCAAAAATTCACGGTCACTCTTGTGTTTGATGAGGGTTCAACTCACAGCTCTAAAACTTTTTTTCTAATTTTGAATTTTCTAATTTTTCTTAATTTGAATTGAATGATTCGTTTCTGTTATTCGATTGATTCATTTGTATTTTAGGCATTACCGAACATCAGTTGAGCTTTTGAAGTCATCCATTCGATTTCCTAGTAGTTGAATGAATGATCGAATCATTTTGTCTCGCATATAGGATAATATCCAGTTTAATGCGTCAATGATAATAACCAAAAGGCACACCTTGTTCATTTTTTCTTTTCAATTATTATTATCGTTATTTTAATCCCTGATTTCTCATATTTATGCACATTTCGAAATTTAAGCTTTTCATATTTCCGACACCGAAAGAGCATCAATAATCTTTAAAGCGTTACGAAGCCACTCTCGATTGCCTTCAATTTGTCATTCGCTTATTTCAGCTAATTGTTTTGCACACCGCTCATCTCAGCACTGTCGTTTCTTGCAGCTCAATAATGTGGGACCCTTCTGATCCAATCGAACCGGGAACTATGAATGAGGAGATTCTGTTCCCTCCCGGATACACTCCCTTCTTCTCAATCCAGACATTTGTCTCCGTGATTATTCCAGTGTTCGCGTTCTTCATCATGTTTGCAGTAGGTAAGAAGAGAAGAAAAATTATCATTCATATTTTTTTTTGAATATCGAATCCGATAGATTAAAATTTAATTCGTATCAGATTTAAATTCCAGTTTTTTTTTGTCAGTTTAACAATAAGAATAAATCCACTAATGGTTGCAAAAATATTGATAAGAATAACTTCGGCGGAATTTTCGAGATAATTATTTTCCAGTCATATTCATGATGTACGTCTACCGAAAATTGTGCACTCAATCGCCAGTTTTCGAGCATATCCTATGCGAAGATGATGATTTTCTGCCGATTCCGAGACCAATTACTCCGAGGTAACAATTTGTATGAAGCTTCGACGCAACCATATTTCAGTCCGGAGCATTTTCGTCGCAACTCGGCGCAGGCACACTATCGGCTTCTCATCAAGAATAAATTCGAGAAGGAATTTGGAAAATCACGAGCCGAATCTGGATTGTTGATGCCTGTTCGCCTCATTACTCCCGTTATTGAAGATGTCTAAACAACAATTCACAAATAACAACAACTAATCCATATTGGTTTACGTGTTTTTTCTGTGATCAGAACTTATCCCATTGTATTTTGATTAAATATGCCCCTAATCATTCCCTAAATCCAAAACATGTTCGACGCTACCAAATTTTCAGCATCATTGAAACGCTATCAAAAATAATTATCACAAAATTACCGAATTTCAGATATATTATAGAAATAAATAGTGAATTAATGTATCAATATTGTTTAAAACTTATATAATGTGTTGTTATTGTTATAATTGCGAGGATGTTAGATTATCAGAGTCGCATGCGCAACCACCCAAAAAGGCGCGTAAGGGAGGTGCGAAAAATCGTGCAAGTGTTTGCACACCGGACAGTTAATTTGAACGCCGTTTTCGCGCGCGCACTCAAATTTTCTGTTTATTTTTGTTTGTTTGCTTGTTTTCTTTTAATTTTTGGATGATTTTTAGCAAACAAACATCAGCCTATTAATTAAAAATCAATATTATATGATTAGAATAATCTACGAACTTATTTGTGAAGTTTCTGCTTTTTTTCAAAACAAATATGTTCTTTGAATCAAAAATTATATATCTATCTTTTTTATTTTTTGGATCAATAGAACATTATTTCCCCGCGGATTAAACACAATACGCAATGTGCCAGAAAAAAGAACGTTGACATTTCCAAGTTTAGCTAATCCTTAAAAGCTTTATTTTAGACCATTGCAATCTTTATTCTAAATAATCCGCCACATTGTTGTTATAGAAATGTCGGAGATTCCTGAAGATTCGTGCTCAACCGATTCGGCAAAGGAGAATTTGCGAGGATTTCTGACGCCGGCAGCAAAGCGGAAGTCAAAACTTGAAGAACTGACTCCAAAATCGCGGTCGGCTGAAAAGAATTCAACAAGTTTTAATCCGTTTGGAAAATATCAAATACTCATCAATTCTGACAAGTTCCAATTCGAAAAAGCTGTTAAAAATTTTAAGAAATCTGTGTGGTTTTTTCTTGATTAAAGGTGTTGAGCTATCATTTTCAGATCGAAGAGGAGCCCTATACAGATGACGGAAAGAAATTTCTAAAAACTCGCCCAGAAGCAAAACAATTAATAATAGAATTAAAAAAATTCGTTTCGAACGTGAAAACTGTATCGAAATCGATGACTACTGCGGTAATTATTCAAAGTAATTTTAATGATTGGAATGTAATTTTCCTAGGTTCCAAGCATACTAACCAGTTTTGCTCCGAATTTTGTGGGGCTTTGTGAGCTATTCGAGAAAGATGAAACAAAATGTGTTGATGTGATGGCGATTTGTCAGAAGATTAGCGAGGTTTTGCCACAATATTCCTACAGTTTCGATGAAAATCATGTCTCAGGCTGTTAATGCTATATCCTCATCAGTTAGTGAACCATTTGGATCAGATCTCCTCGACGAATGGACACCTCTGCTAATCGCATTGCTCAGTTCACCTCATGCGTCTCTTCGAAATTCTGCTATTAATCTCTGGAAGTGCACGTTTTCGAAGGTCACTGGAAAACTTCGATATAGCAATCCGAAACTTCGCGAGATGCTATTGGCGGTTCCGAAGAAACACAAGCTTAATGTACCAGAAGATATTTCTGCTGAAAATAAAACTAGCGTATTTGATGAAGACGAGGAAGAGGTTGCTATGGATTGCACTGAAATCGGAGATAATAAGGAAGTCAAATCAGGAGATACTGGTTTCCCGCAGGTAGTCAAGAAGTTAATTTAATTTAACATGACCTAATTTTTATAGGAAAGTTCGTCATTCGAGCTCTCTCAGCAATCTGCTGTTGATAATCTCGCAAAGAAGCTTATTGTTGAGAAAGCTAACGAAAATATGAAGAAAACTGAATCACCTCGGTCGAAGAATGCGGAAAAATTTTTACTTGACGAGGATACTTCGGAATTTGTTGTGATAAAAACACCAATAAGCAACCAGAAGAATAAGCTGACGGATCATCAAAAAGAAAAATTCGAGGAATCGAGGGACGGACTGAATTATTTTAATGAGGAATCTCAAAGTGGAACACAAAGGAATTCCTCTATCAAAACAGCATTGAAGAGTTTGAATTTTGATGTTGGAACAGAATCATGCAGGTAAAATTAATTATTTTCTCACTTCACAAACAGTTTTCTGAGTTATCCAAACACTGATGATTTTTAATTGAATTTTAGTTCTTCTGACGTTGTGAAGCAAAAAGACGAAGAAAAAGAAGAAAAGGTTGATTCAACGGAAATCACTGAACCTACTTCTACAAAACGGGCCAGCTTGAAACGGCCAAGAAGATTATTCGTAGGATTATTAAAAAAAAGACAAGCAGCATTGGCTTTTACAGATTTCCGAGGATAACGGTCGATTGAGTCCTTCATTGAAAAAGACGAGGTCTCAAAAAATGGATGTAAGACAAGATTCGACCGATGATGATATAGCTCTTATAGTACGCCAACTTCGGAATTCGATTTTTATTACTAGTTTTCGTTTGCAGAATCTTCCAGAACTTGAAAGTGCTAGTAAGAAAAAAGTGCCGGAAGAATCTGTATCGACCCGACCGAAACGATATTCTCGAAACCTTAGAAGCTCTTCAAGAGCTGAAACTGGCATCAACATACCAGAAAAACATACAGATCCCGAACCTGAAAGAACAGAGGGAAACCAAGAAGAGCTTACTACTGCTACCCAAGTTTCGGTGTCGGAAGAGAAAACAGTAATTGAAGAAGAAGAAAGCACAAAAGAGCCAACTCCTCAACCAATAACTGAGACTCAGCGTGATTCTCAGGATTCTCTGCCAAGTACTGTGGAATTGGAAGAAAAGTAAAATAAATGGTATTATAACAACTAGAGATAATTGGGATTTTTAAGGGAAGGTACGATCAATGTCCCACAAACTCCGTCAACGAAAAAATCGCCTGCAACAATTGGAACTCCGAGTATTTTGCGAAAAACTCCCGGAAGGAATACACCGTTAACTGAACGGCGTCGAAATCGAGTTCACTTCGATGCGGATTGCCATTCAGATAGTCTTAAAGTTTCTCCGTTGAAATCGAGTTGTTCTCCCAAAAAATCGTCAAAATTCGTTGATTTGAATCCAGAGCCAGAACCAGCGCGCACAATTGCTGATTTACCAACTTCTGGTTATGAGTTGGTTTGTTTTTTTTAATTAAAAATCAAAAATGAACGATTTCAAGGAAAACTCGGCGATTTACCCGTCCCTCGTCAACTGCTCACATCCAATTAGTGAAATCATTCGTAAACTTGTTCCGCTTTCCGGCGCAGTCACGTAAGAAAATGAGCGCTTGTTTGTTTTTACCGCGATTCTCATATTTCAGAGCGATTTCGATGCTCAAAAAGTGGATTGAAGATCACGAGATCACAACTATTGGACAATTTGCCAAATTGACGTTAAAGGAAATTCATGTTGCTAATGGAATTAGAGCTCCTCGTGATAAAACAGTACGCAAAGTTCTCAGTGAATATGAGGTTAATCTCAAAAAGAAGAAACCACAACCGAAAGTCGCCAAGGTTTATCTTCAGAAATTGAATAATGTTGCATAATATAATTTCGCATGTTAGGTAGACGATAGCTGGTCGATGGACAGTGAAACGAATAGGCAAGAAAGTGAGCCAAAGGCTGTTCAGAAGGAAGAATTGCGGGAAACATTAGAAACTGTCGTTGTTGAAGTACCACAGCCGCAACCAAAAATCGAAACTATTGTTGAAAAAGTAGAAAAAACTCCGGAAAAGGTTTGATAAAATTAGTGAAAATCCAAAACAATTGTATTGTTTTAGACGACATCCCCCCAGAAGTTACTTCCATCGACGAAACAAGAGATTTTTGAAGCATTTCACAATTCACCAACGGAAGTTGAAAACGTTGGAATTGTTGAAAGTCAACCTATTTTTTCAGAAGAAGTAGCCTTTTTCGTGTCTTTCATAAGTATTTATATTTTTCTTTCAGACCGGAACAAGCATTGTGAATGACATGTCGAAAGCTTTGCAGGATTCCCCAATGAAGGGTGATGATGCTGAAATAGTTGAAACTCCGTCAAGTGTTGATATGATCTCAGTACGATATTTCATTTTGATTATTTTTACTGAGTTTTTTGTTTAGGTTCCGTCTTCGAATGAAACGTCCAATAATAATCGCGTAACAGCTTCTTCCATCGAAAATTTCACGAAAATAATGGAGACTCAATTGAAGACGATTTCCCGCGAAGACGTTGATCCTTCTGAAATTGTCAAGGCATCTTTGATGGTTGACAAAATGACAAAAGCTTTGACAAAAATTTTGGCTAAACGAAGATTACCTGAGGAGCATCTCAATGATATTGATGATCATTTGTACGATACGAATATTCGCCTCGCCGGATTCCTCCAATCTCGCGGATTCCGAAACCAGCACAATAACAACTAGAATAATAACAATCTAACCTTAATTGCATAACATTGATGATATTCTTAATAATGTTCAATACTTTCTGTTTTTGCGCAAATTCCGATTTGTTGCAACTTATCTTTTTTGTATTCATATCGAGATCAATTATGAAAATTTACAAGATTTCGCCAAGTGCCCACTTGAGTTCTATCTTCTACCTTCGAGAACGTTACAATATGGCAATCATTTTACACTAATACTGGTCGCCAGTGCAAAAATGATTCATGTTTAAGTTTTCAAGTTGGATCGGGTCCTAGGGCAGCGAGGCCGGTCTTGAATACTTGGAGGCAATTTGAGAAAAAGCTTACTTCTAATCTGCGCATTTTGTTTGTCCCCGCTCGTCATCGGCGCGTTGCGAATCGTCTTCTATAATGCATGTCAGCTGTTCAATGTATTTATCGTCGCGGCGATTCAACCTTTGCCTCCGCGCTCGCCATACAAGGGGATAAGCACCCGAACCCCGTATCAGTTAGCTGTACAAATAAATAGCCACAAAGACAGCAGGGAAGAGGCCGAAATAAAGTTGAATGAAGTGAAGCGAAATGATTGTCGAGAGCCATTGATTGATTCGGCTCTTCTTCATTTTGAAATTTCGAATCCCCAAATATTTCGATGCTCCCGATGTTCGTATTAGCTTTGAACCTTCTCAAATATTCTATTCCAAACAAAATTTCTCTTATGATGTTTTGTTTTTCATTTTATTCCTGTTTCATTCGTTTTAAGTTTTTCTTTCCAATTTTTGAAGGAATTTTTTCAATTTTAATAATTTAAACAGTTATCTATATCGGGAATATGAGAGAACGAAGTGTAAAAATTGCTGAACATTCTTGATCTCACGTATAAAACAGAATTTTTTCGACAATTTTATAATTTCGTTTCTCGTTACAATAGATTGCTTCGTTTTCTTTGATTTCTCCTATTATTGAAAGTTGGAATCCATCGGCAAGGTCGGCCAATTTCAACAATAAACCGAACCTAATTAGGCGGCACAGGAGTTAATTGCTCGTTTAATACAAATCGTTCATTTTATTATTAATTTGCTTTGTATTGTCAAAGACGCGCGACTACGACAAATTGGCAAAACGTCCTGGATGGTCTCGAGACGAATTCAGCGTAATTATCCGCACGCATGTTGCGAGACCCAATTCTACGGTAAAGCTTGCAATCATATTCCATAGTTGTCGCTCGCAGGTGTAACTAGAAGACAGCAAAATAGTAAATTCAAGTGTTGACCTAGGTAAACTTTCAACTTGGATCCGTCGTCGACTTCCGGTCTTTAGAGTTAATGTGTGCTCAACTTTCGATTCAAACGAGCGAACTTTTTGCCCGGAAAACCGGACTCGACAGCCCTGGGGCGTCAAACGAAGCAATTCATTGTTCACATATCAGTCAAAGAAAAATTGTTTCTTTTTTTGCAATCATTTCTCAATTTTTATTATTTTTCATTCATCGTTTTCACATCAATGCTTTCTCTTCAAATATTCCATCCTTCACTTCTCATCTTTATTGTTGAATATTTTAAATTAATCTCGGTTGGATTGAGGGTTACAGGTTTTTCTTAATTAAATAGCGAATTCGACATATTCTCTAGCATTTTACACCACATATTACAAAAATATGCTTCAGGCAATGTCAAGTATGTTGAGTGTTCAGTCCTGATTAAAACTTTAGCTTTATGCAGTTCATTTGTAGCTATTCAATTAGATCTTTAATCGATAATAATTGAAAAGCCTTTCGTAAGTGTGAACACTAAATATCATTAGTGTTTGCTCAAGCTTTCCGCATTGCGTTCTTCTGAAACTTGCCGTCAGCCTGGATATCAAACAATCATTGATTTCTCAGTAATTACTTACCGAAATCAATCGATTGCGAAAATTTGGCTAAATTCCGAAAAAAAATTTCGAAGGGGTTTGGCTTGCTGTGTGCGCCTTTAATTTATCCTTATGCTATGCCCACAATTCATATTTTCCATATTTTATTCAACCGCAGCGAATGCACAATTCGAAAAAACGAGGATTAATTCATTCTGAATGTCGATATTGAGCAATTATAGACATAGTAAAATATATCTTTGTCGGCGGTACCCTGCGTACCACCCACCTGTTATATGTATGTAGAATGACCCCGACATGAATACTCAATGAATTCTACATTTATGGTCGTCGTTCGACTAAATTGAATAGTGCTCTTCCATTTGCTTCATTGCACTCCCAGACGTCCTATTAATCTCCAAACGAATGTTGGTATCCTTCTAGACGTTGGTAGAATCGAAACATAGTAGCCGAATAGCGGTTCCGGCAATAAAAGTTTACTGGATTGTCTTGACAAAACACGTTTGTCAAATGTGTAAACTTTTCAGCAAACACGACTTTTATTTACCGGCGGCAACACGAAACGAAGAGCAAGTAAAGACGATTATTTATTGTGCGTGTGAACTTTGGCTGGGTGTGTGTATAGACCGACAGCCGCACGAATATGCATACAAATCAGAGGAATGGTCAAGACCTCAGCTGCTCGATCCGGTTTTCGTCATTTACAAGTTACGGAAATCCACTTGAACAACACACCTTAGACATTCATAAACATATACATACATACACACATTTATCCGTTGTTCTATTTGTTATTCCTTTTTTTTGCGCATATTTGCGGTGTCTGAATTGTTTCGTCGAAAAGCCGCAATTGGAAATAGTTATTGTGGTCAACGGCCTTCTTAATCGTCGCTTCATTCCTTTTTGTGGCCGACGTTTTAATGGGGAGTAAAGTTTACTTTAGCCTCGTCTTCATTTTTTTTTCTACATCCACTAGCCCTCATCCAAATGTTTTGTCTACCTCCCGAAAGTATCGCATTTTTCTAATCATTGAACACCAGTTTTCATGATGATCGACACTTGAAATACTTTGGCGAAATTGTCTAATATTCAATTGTTGGTACGTTTTTTTTCGTTTCAAAAAGGCCGTTCAAATTGTGAAAATTTGGTCGACATGAACTATCGACTACATCGTCATTCTAAAAAAATACATTTTCTTGGCATCTGAAGAGCTCTTCTATGATGCAGTAGAAGAAACCAGTGCTCTGAATAGATTACCTTGGTCTTCTGAATTTCGTTTCAGACATTTCTAATGAGATCGAGTATCGAATATACGGGTCGGCAAAATTCGCTTATTTTCAAGAAAACAACTTTTCTTATTACATACCGCTTATGAATAACTACAATAAAAAGTTTTCTGTGAATTCATCATAAGTTGCTTGCCGTATTTCCTTTTCCCAATTGAATGATGATGTAATGGGGGGAGCTTTTTAACGTTCTAAAGTCCAAATGTGTTACATGATAAACGGTTTATCAACAGACTTCTTCTTCTTCACCATTTTCCTCCTCATCTTGATAATCGTGTTTATCCGTCGTACCTTCTCCGTTTTCATTTTCATTTCACCTCATCCAAATCAGTCAAAAGTTCGCTTCCGACTAGCTTCAAAAATGAACGCAACGTTGACGGCCGAAAAAAAAATGAGTGAGGCGTGAAAACGGGCCGGCCGCCGGAGTGCATTAAATAGCATCGATGTGTGTGTGTGGGGGTTGGCAAATTACCGTAATGTGTGCGCGAGCGGAAATCAAACGAACGGTGTATGAGAAGAAGCGGCGACCGCAGCGGCAGCGGCAGGATTCACCCATTACTTGAATATAATCGCTTTATTGGCCGACAGTTGGGTGAGGGTGGCCGATGAGGCGGACGGACACAGTTGACAGAATCGCTGCGACAACCAACACGCACAAATTGCCACTCATTTTGTAACATTTACAATTATTCTATAACTCATTTATTTTGTTTATTAAGTATGTCTCGTCCCTTATAACCGGACAAACGTCCGAAGTGCCGTTTCGCACTACCATTTCTTTTATATATTTATATAAATTGTTAAAGCTTCTTCAAGCCATCACAAACTAGACCATCTTTTTGGAAAATTTATTTTAAAGTTAGATAATAAATATCTGTTTGATATGCAGAAATAAGTGCATTGCTCTCTCATTCGGTTCCTTAATTCAAGTTTCGATTTCTAAAAATTTAATAGTTTCAAATTCTCTGCATTAATTAGTGTACCGTACTAGGGTCACATTTCGCATTCATTTTTACAAATTATTCTAACTAGGATTCTCGTGTTATTCCTTGGCGAACATGTTGTAAGTGACTCTTAGAGTGTGAGTTTTGCGTCGGAGCAAACACGTCCGATTTGAGGAACAATGCTCAATTCGATCCGATTCTTGTGTATTTGTCGCCGCCGCGGCCGCTGGATGTTTATTCACGAGGTCATCTCTCATAATACACATTGGAAAAGTTTGATTTTTTTCTTGCAAAAAAAAAATAAGATTGGGTTGGCAACCGATTCGATTGATTCGTTATGGTGCTGGTATGTGTGTTTCTGTGTAATAATTTGAATGTTTGCATAAAGGCGTCGATGCGAAATCAGATAAATGTGAGAGTGTGTGTGTTGATTTATACCCGATTGACGGCCGCCATGTCCTACAAGTGCGCGTGCATATCGCTTAAAGATATTCATATTCGGTTTCGGGTCACAGGGCTCATACGAATATGCGAATGCTGATGACTAATGTTACAAAAAATTCAGGTCAAAAAACACTGGTCAATGTCTTTTTTATTAGTTCCCCCTATTTCGATACTAATTTATGAGGTAGGCAGTTTTTTTTTCGAACGATTTAAGTGTTCCTTGAACCTTTATAACCCGGGATTTTTCAGTGATCTTTTATATGTACTTTCATTTGCATAAGATGCATTTCTCTCATCCCATTCGGACGCCGTTCGTTTCGGGCATTCACATTCATCAACGATGTCTCTCTCTCTATTTTTATCACTACTGCTTTGCCATTTCAACCTATTTATCATAGCGGCTTTTCGCCGAAATCAGACGCCTTTTTTGTGTGTCCCGTCCATCTCTCCATTCATCCGACGATTCGCTGCTGTTTTCTTCCCTTTTTTCTATCGACTTTTCGTGTCGGACGGCTAAGCCGAAGACGTGTTCCGCGCCGCTCGGAGGACGCCGCTCGCTCGTTGATTAGCAGAAAACTGCCGCCTCATAACACATGTTGCAAGCTTGACTACAGTTTCGAAATTCGTTCATTCTCACTATTGTATTATTAATATTGGTATAATTACAAGTTCATTTTTAAAAATTACCTTCAAATAGAAAAATCATTCCGAAAGCTTTTCGGAAATAAATTTCAATCATTCATTCAAAATCTACTCAAAACATGTTTCTTTGGAAAACTCAATTTTCTTTTTAGAAATTTCCAAAGACTACGCTAAAATGAGCAATTTTCTCATTTTTCGGTGTATTTGTAACTGTTTCTTTTTTTTTAAACAAAATACCTTTTGTTGCCAACCTCAAATTCTATCCATATATACATATGTATATTTTGTGTTGTCATTTCGTTCCTGATTTTGCCGGAACCGTTTTCAATTCGTTTTTTGTATGTTTAACACCTCTTGAGAGCCCATTATTTTCGAGCCGAGTTCTCCATTTTTCACTTTTTTGAAAAATAAAAAAACACGAAACCATTCTAACTATTCCCTTGATATAAATGTTCGATTCTGAAACAATACGCCAATGTCGGAGGATTCTGATTATGGCTACGCCTTTCCCATCAAATGGGGAACATCATTTTTATTAGCTACTTATCCGACGATGACTGTTCAAGTTCGCCACTTGGTCGTTTTGCGGTCTTCCGAAGAAATGCTTCTTCAGCCCATTCAAAAATTCTCGATCGACCACTTCCACTCCTCGATATCCTTCTTGTAGTTGTTTCGTTTTGTTGTTGGCAAGCCATACGAAAGTTTCGAATGGATTTGTCGGTCGGTCGGACGAATAAGTGAAAATGTTCAGGCGAAGAGTGACGGCCAAAAAACATCAAGAAGAGAACCGCAGCTAGCGGATTTGATAGCTTCGTGTTTTCACTACGAACATCTCGATCCTATACTTGTTTCATTTCCAATCCTTTATCATTTCTATGTTTGGAGATTTTAGACCTGACAATCTCAGCTGCTCTAATTTATAAATGCTTATGAGTTTGATGGGCAGGGCATCCGCAGAACGGTACACAAATTTACTCAACTTCAAACAAAGCTGAACTAAAAATTCTAAAAGAAGACATTTTTATGGTGAATTTTCAGCGAAAAGCGGAAATTTCTTTTCGATTTTCCCTTCACGCCATTTCTTGAATTCTTGCCTACCATAAACCAAAAAAATAAGACACACCCTGAAAAATGTTGCCACAACCTTACTGTTTTTTTCCACATCCAAACTCTCGATAAATTATTCAGGGATTTGAATAAATCATATTCGGCTAACGTATAATTTGGGTGTACAGGTAGCAATTAAAATGTCCGTACATAGAAATATACATAAATATATTTTCGATTTGCAACTATTTGTGTCGATGCGTTGTCGGCGAAAAATCCCGATCATTTGAAATAAAATCGAATTTTCTCATTGTTTGCAATATGCTGCAAATAAAATAATATTAGCAGCTTACAGCCTTTTCGGGATCCCTTTCAATTTGTTTCATTTCTGCATAATATATGCGAAACGAAGAGACACACAGTTGTGCGCAACGGTGCATGAAGTCGTAAGCCGCCGATCGCTGCTTGTTTTGCCTAAATACCATGTTCTATTGATTTTGGGCAATCTGTTAGAATTTCCCCGATTTTTTGAATATTTTGGGTTCGATGAAATTGATTGGACCTTTGTGGTTTTTTTTGCCACACTCGTTTGTGGTTTTTTTGCATTCAATAGTACATAAACACGAATAACTATTGTCTCGCGACCTTTATTCACTTTTTGCCGATGCTACGGTATTTTATGAGGTATGAAGAAGTCAAATCCGTTGTGTATACAGCATGCATGACATATTTTATTATTTTCTTCACACTGACCTGTTTTTCTGAATACGAATATGGTAGTTCTGCTATCAAATTCTCTATTTCTAATTGAATGCCAATTGTCGAAAAAAAATTGTCAAATATCTGTGTAGCCTTTTATTTATTACATTAATACATAAAATACCGTATATATTCTTTTTAATAGTTCTAGAATGCATAGAATTGTTGCTTACATCAGACATACTTGCCAGACATAAATTGCACCGTCGTCACTTTCACCTTTCCAGAAGAATTAATCGGATTAGTCGGTTTGGCATCAGCCAAAAACGGTATTCTGCTTCACCGCCAAGACAGAAAAAAAGGCTGCTGACCTTGCCGCAACGGAATGTCCTTCGTTCTCTTAAATTAAATTAGACCCGTTCAGTGGCGATCCGCGGCGATATTGTTTTTTGTGTGTGGGCCCAATGAATATGCCCTTCATCGGATAACTCCATTTATTACTCACCAAATGGTGTTTCGAAGCCGACAAGGTCGCATATCCCCCTTTAATTTTTTTTTTCATTCGACCGTCTCGCAATTGTAATTCGTCTCCGTTTTAATTGGTTCAGTTACGCAATTTTGTGATAATTAGTCGTTCAAATTTTGCAGATCGAAAACGCGAAGATATGCGAATAAGTAATGGGTACACCAGCGACGCGACCCGAGCTTGAATGGCTTTTTCCCAAAGAGGTTCGTTTCATTTTCATGTTAACCATTTCAATTGGCAGCATGCCCAACAATTTACGAAGAGGTCTTGGAGCAAAAATAACAGTGTAGATTTACGGGTTAGGCATCAGCAAAGGTTAAAGGCGCATACAGCTCGCCAAGACTTCTTTCATAGATTTTTTGCAGAGATGCACTGTCTCAAGGGTTTATGTTCGAGAAAAAATGGAGTTTAGTGTGGTTTTCAAATTTAAACGCAACTGTTTTAACAGGGTTTTCAAAAAAATTTATTTTTGTTAAACCAAATTTGTTTTGCCACGAATAAAAAAAATATGTATCGTTTATGGGTAATCTACAAGGAGCTTTGAAGAGCTTTAATTGGAAATTATAAACGAGCAGCATGTCAACGTTTTCTTACCAAAAATTGATTAATTTCATTTGTTTAATATTTAGGAATTAAAAAATTCCAAAAAAGTTTTAGATGTTTCATTTTAGTTCCAATCCCAGCTCAACATGAAAAATTCTAATATTTGCATTGTTGCGTCTTATAAGGAAATACAGCTCGTATCGTATGCTGACAAAAGAATTTCTCTGAAGCATACCGGTTCCACTAATTTCTGAGAAAAAAATGCTTCGATCATTTGGCTTTGAATTTCTTTTTTTTTGGCAAAAGAATGAGCTGAAGGAAATTTGTTGGCCAACTCCCATATTTAGTCTGACGTTTTGCTTTCTTATTGTACTCGAAACTGATTTATATGAATATTATTCAATTTTTTGGGATTTGCAAAATCGAATTTGCGTCATGCACTGAAACGACGACGCAATTAAATCAATCTTATTCGCATTTATTATTTTATAGCGAAAAATCGACTATTTCGTCGTTCTTTTTTTTTGGGAAATGCTCGCTAAACGACAGGAAATAGCTCGTTTCGACGGACGCGATTGTTTGATTTTTTTTTGGCGACGAACAAAAGGAGCAATTTCAGACGAAATAATGATAGTACGAAAGCTATAAAACCTTGCTTTTTTCTTTTTTTTCCTCGGCAGTAGACAAATTTTTTGAAAATGATTTGCTAATTTTTCTAATGTGAACAACAGGAAATGCGTAATACAAAAATATGGAAGATGGCGCGAAATTTGAAATTTCGAAAACTGCCCAAATCAAGATGATGATGGTTTTGAGCGATGAGATGTCGTAAACTCGCTGACCCATTCATTGACTGGACACAATGCCCATCATGGCGGCCTAATGAGCGCCACCATGAGTAATCAGAACGTGACGGTGTTTCGGCGGCACCGGTCGGTCTAACGCCGATGGATTTGCATAGATTGTGTCGATCGAACATCGATATGTTGCAGGTGACGACGTCGGCTTCAGCTGTTCTCCAGAAGAATCCCGGTGAGGTGTCGCTGAATTTTCTCGCCGAACACTCGCTGGCACTGATCGCCGCCCTATTCGTGAGTATTTCTTTTTTTCCAAACGCTTTCGCCAGTTTGTGTTCTGAGAGCCCAACTCTCGGGGAAATTGTTATCCCGTGAAAATTCAATTTCCGTTCGAAATCCTGTTTTATCAATGGATATTGAATGGAATATTTATGTATCGCCAATTCTAACACGACATTTGTCAGCAAATCTCTCAACTAATTTCCGTTTCAAAATTGATAATTATTAGAATGACTAATATTATTAATAATTTCGCGATGGAAATTAATTAAATTTCCCCCTGAGAACAAAAAAATGGCAAAACGAGCAATCATGTGATAGAATGCTCGAGTTCACTATAGCAAACAAATGAACGTGTGGTGAAAAGACGAAAAAAAAAACACATTCGGCATTGTGTCAGATGTTGAAAAACTAAGGAAAAACTGTAACCGGACAGAATTCGGACCTGTCAAAACGGGCGATTCCTGCAAATAAATGCAAATATGGAAATTTGGAATTTGTTCTACGAATTGGCACAACTAGTATTCATGTTTGCAGCTCATCGTACTATCAGTCGCCTTGATCGCCGTGCTCGTTCAGTACCATTGCCAAAAGTCGGGATCACCTCAGCCAATCGCACATACACCAAGTCAATGGACCACGTGCAGTACTGGTGAGTCGCGTGCTCGCATGCTCCGCCCATCATTTTGTCATATCGAGTAGATCGGCGGTCTATCACGAGTCAATTCGTTTTCTTTTTTGAAATATTGGTCGCGGTGCGTGGGGGGGTTGCCTCGAACAAGTTGTTGGCATTGCTCGCACACCGACAGACAACCAACCGGCTCTTACACATACATATATACAAACTTACACGGGTCGTCGCGAATGGATCTGCTTCTCGCGCGCCTCCTGATCAATAGCTGCTGCTGCTGCTGCGACTACTACTACGATGGCGACGGCCGCTGCCTCGTTTTGTTCGGTTCGGCGAAAAGGGTGGGGGCGCCGATGCTCTCGAATGCGCGCTCAGCTCAGCACAGCTCAGTCTGCCGCCGAGGCGCGCTCTCTCTTTTCGCCTTCTCCATTCGCATCGCGCGTTTTGTGTGTATTGTATTTGTACACTGGAGACGACCGACGAAGCACTGTATGCAATTGCGAACCAATGTGTCCAATTTTGCACATTCCACAAGTGGAATATTAATCTCATCCTTCTCGCCGCTATTGTTTTCTCTCCATTCCCATTCATTTATTCCCTTCTCAAATACCGTATCTCTCACGAATTTCCTTATTTATCATTTTCATTTATTAACGAATTTTTGACGATTATTCATTTTTGTATTTTAATATTCCAGCTAATTTCTCCTCCATTTTTATAAGCCAAATCGTTTTATAATATTTTCGGCAAATTTCGGTTTATTGATATTTGTCACGCGATTTTGTATGATTTTCGGTGCCCATATGAGATTTTGCCTTTCGATTCTAAATATGCTCAGCACTCGGCGAAACCGAATTTCGTTTCAAATATCCTATTTGAATTTTAGACATCGCGTTTCTTGAATTCTATATTATTTCAAATACATCCATTAATAAGTCATTTGCCCTGAAATCTCGCGATCATACTTCCCGCGAAAAAACCCGTCATCGAAACAGCAGAAAATTCTATTTTTAAATTTATAAAAACGACACTTTCGATAATAATATTGTCGAAACTCTGTTTACGCACATTTTCATCGGAATGAGATCCATTAACTCCGAAGTCTAGACTCACGTTAAAAATAAAATGTCGAGTCTCGAAGAGACTTTCTCGTTTTCCACTCTAATTCTCGTTATTGTATTTTTGTGATTCTCCAGACCTTCGAAAAACCATGGGCGAGGTGTTCTTGAACCCAGTGTTCCTCGATTCGTCGGATTCCGATTCGGAGCAATCCTCTTCGAGTCGCTACCGTAGTCCTTCGCATTCGAGTCTTCCGAGATCATCGCGCCAATCAAGCGGTAATGTCGCCATTGGCAATTTTTGTGTGTTGGTTTCTAACGTCCAAATGATTCTAAACATAAGCCGAATTCGATCCACACATAATTCGCCGTCGCCCAAAAATTGGCATCAAGGAAATGGGCAATTTTTTTCAGTGAGAAAGAGAGGAAAAATGTTTCTAGAACACTTCTCTAAATATTGATTCCTTCACTTTAATAATTTTCAAACAAAAGCGAACCGAAACGCTTGAAACCGTCTAAAAATAGACGAGAAGTCAAACAAACGGTCGGTTGAGCCGCACCTTGTTCAACTTTCTAGTAGGTTAAGCCGAAGTTTGATGTGTGTTTGTTAAACAAACGAGAAAAAAAACTGCGAAATGTGAGAATTTGAATGACGCTGGGTCATAAATTCTAGAAGCTTTCTATAAAAGGAAATTCGATTCTGAAATAGAACGCGTCTTCTATTTCGAGATGGTGTTCACCCGAAAAAGTCTGTATCTCCTTTCAAATCTTTCTTTCTTCATTTCAATTCTCATTTTTTCAGTTTCTTCGACATACTCGACTCAGAGTCTTTTGCAATTGATCAGCTCTGATTTACGACAATCCTTGCAAGGCCTACTTCTGCCCTCCGAAGCGGTCGTCTTGGAGACTATTGTTGGAAAAGGTTGGCGCCGAAAATTGATTGTTTTTTTTTGCGACGGGCATGGAATAATTGCGTTGTTTTTTTTGTGACGACGAAATGGGATACGTAGTCGACATGAACGCTCGTGAATGGTTTCGACGCCGTTTTTTAGAGCGGGATAAAATGGGATAAAATGTACTCGAGGCGTTTTCTTTAAAGAAATCGACGAAATAACTTTAAAAAGTGCATAAAAATTAAACTAAAAATAATAATAAAAAGAAGTCAGAAAATCGTGCCGCGATAAGAAGGTATCTCGAAGTCACACTCTCCCAGAAACCGGCACGATTTGCTGAGAAATTTGAAAAAATTACGGACGTGAAATGTTCCGTGGCCTAATATTTCGCGGCCGTGGGCGGGGGAAACGGTCGGGCGCGTCCACCTCGTCCGGAAAACCTTCATGCTTTACTTCTGGACTTGAACATTGTCATCAGGGGAAACCTACAATCACTATAATTTCTTTATTTAAAAATACTTTTTTCGAAACTTAGAAACTTGTTCCGGACTTCGACGTGTTTTACTGTTCTTTTCGAGTATAGATATGAGTGTAATATGTAGTTGAAAATGAAAAATAGAAAATGATTGTCACATTCGAATAATCACGCGAATAGTTTACGAATATTCTATCATTTTCCAGCTGTTAGTTTCCAAATTATTCGAATTTCTATTCGGCGGCTCTCATTTATTTTTTTGTCGATTTCTTTCTCATAAAATTGCATAAAAGTCGTGAGTGATCTTATGTAGTGCACAAATTTTAATGCTTAAATATACAAAAATATTGTAAAATATAGAAATTTGTGTTATAGTGTAGTGAAGACCAAGCACACGGTTTTGAACAACAAAAGTTTGAAATCAGTAATTATAGACAATTTTAGAAATCATCTAATAGTTTTTTTTTATATTTAATTATTTCATGTTTTATGAATTGGTTATCTAATGAGTTTTGTTTCAAAATTTCAATGCTTTTTTTATTTTATTTCAGGTTACTTCGGAAATGTGTATCGTGGTCGTATGCGTGATCCTGCTGGTCGGCTCATCCCGGTTGCCGTAAAAACATTGAAAGGTATTGAGTTCTTTCGTTCATGTAGCTTCTAATAAGTTATTTAAATTAAATTAATTTATGATAATGCTTTTTACTTTCGAAACGCCCATAAAATTGATAAAATTTACCATGGTTGTGATTTTTATCACAAGTAGAAATCAGCACTGAATGACCGCACATCAGTCACCAGTCGCCTTCATCGCTCTCACTCTTTCTTATACCGCACTGCGGTCGCAAACTTTCGGCCTGCTTAGTATAGTGGTTAGTACTCCACGTTGTGGCCGTGGCGACGCTGGTTCGATTCCAGCAGCAGGCATTTCGTTTTTTGTAGTTAATTACAACTTGTGAAAGTTAGTATTGTCGGCGTCAAACGACTGAAAGGAGGCGGGGCATTCAAATTCGCGAAATCAGTGTAGATTTAAATTTTTCGTTGACTGAATATTAAATGCGCGTACGCTTAAATTCAAGGTACGCAATTTCACGTACTTCTCACTGCCTTGAGACGCATTGGCACATTGCCAATAATTTTTTAAATTTCGTCAAGTCGTTTGATTCCGACAATAGTAATAGAAAATTCGAAGTCAATTAATTTGCGAAGCGGCGGCATGTTTACATGTGTAAATCGCTATTTTACAGGCGAGCGAGCTCGCGATATTGCACACATCGAGAAATTTCTGCGCGAGGGGATCGTCATGAAGCATCTCGACCATCCGCACGTGCTCTCGCTTCTCGGCATCTCGATCTCGCCGGCCGGTAATCCGTGGGTGGTGCTCCCTTATATGGAAGGCGGCGATCTGAAGACATTCATCGCCGATCCGAATCGCGCACTCTGTGTTCTCGAGCTTCTTGATTTCGCGCATCAAGTCGCTCAAGGGATGAGCTATCTCGCCGCCCAACATTTTGTGCATCGCGATTTGGCGGCACGCAATTGCATGTGAGTCATTGTGGATTTCGAAAATGCTGGTCGCAATCATCGAAATGCTTACAGGATCTCTTCGGATCGCATTGTCAAAGTTGCGGATTTCGGACTTGCCGTTGATCTACTTGACAAGGAGTCATACATCGATGAATCCGAAACTGGTAGTTTATAAAAATGATTGCCTAGTAATAATGGAAATTTGAAGGACCCGCTCGACTCCCTCTGAAATGGCTTGCACCTGAAAGCCTTCGTGATCGGCGTGTGTTCAATGCGGCAACTGATGTGGTATGTATTCTTGCATTTCTTTCATTCAGGAAGTCCTCGAACATTCGTTGTGGACCCTTAATTTTCAGTGGTCGTTCGGCGTTTTGATGTGGGAATTACTTACGCGTGCTGCGTCCCCGTATGGAGAAGTTTCGAATGCCAAAGTGCGGCATTATCTCGAGACTGGAATGCGATTACCACAGCCAACACATTGTCCCGATATGGTGTAAGCCTTCTATAATGTGTGTTGCATTTGTTGAAATATGCGCAATGGATTCAGGTATGACTTGATGCAATGCTGCTGGCGAGCGAATCCTGACGATCGACCGGATTTCGTGTTCCTGGCTCACCGATTAAGGGCAATTTTACAGGTAACATGATTGATTGAAAATTTATTTTGCACAAAAATAATTGTGAAAGAAAGATAATGAAAAATCGGAATCCCCATGGTACAAATTCAGTGTATTTTAGGAACATTCTCCGGATCCATTCACCCGCCGTGTTCGACCTGGTTCCGAGCAATTCCTGCTTCCAGTCCTTCCCGGCCGTCTTTTCACTAATTATTTTGCTGCTCAAATGCACTAAATGCTCCATTCTCGACTCCAACCTCGAAACTACATAAACAAAAAAAATCGCTTAATTCTAAATATTTCTTCTGCAAATCTACCGCCAGAACCAAATCACAACGGGTTATTCGTTCAATTGTTTAGTATCAATTGCTCAAGTTCATTCGTTCTTTTTTTTGTCGAATCCATTTTTATCACAGATTCAGGTCAAAATCGTTTCCAATACTCTACTCTTTGTACTTCCTTCTCCAACTTTTTCTTCATTTTGTATGATTCCAAATATTTTCTTCTTTTTTCCCGCAATTTCATTGTCTTTCTGTAATTTTCGAAAGCTTTTAATAGAATGAATTTGTCATATATTTAATTTGACTCAGATAGACATATGCGAAAAGGAAACGGATTCGAGCCAGTGCAAAAAATCATATATTCTTAATCATTCCTCGTATAAATAGAAATTCTAGTGAACAGCATCTCATAAAATGTTATAGGTTATCAATATTTAATTAGCTATAAATTTCAATGCATACTTTAATAGAAGCGTTTGATAAGTATCGAATTTCGCCACAATTAAATTGCAAATAGCGAAGTGCGTTTGCACGGCGCAGGTGAACAGCCCGAGTTTCCAATTTCATATGGGTTCGTCGACATGCTCATTACATACACACTTTTCTACAATTCGCTCTCGCCAAAATTCGCGAGTTGCATTTTAATCAATGGAAAAGCTTGCGCGTGATTTGCTCATCAATTGAACGACCTCCGCCTGTATTTCCATTACACATTTCAATCGGCGATCGTCGGGCTCGTCTCTTCGCTATTGTAATTTTGTTGCATCGCTTCATTTTTTTTTTGCTGCCGCTGCTCTTGTCTTTCATTTGTCTGTCGAAAAAAAGAAGAACTTTGCGCAAATACTTGTTGTTTCCCTCGATTGTATAGCAGCTGTGATGTTTGTGGAAAATTTTTTGCGTTTATTTTTTGCGCTTGCTTCTCGCCGAGTTTACCGGTGCTTATTGACACCCCACGCCGACCGTAAAAATCCACCTTTTTTTGTGTACTTGAACTTTTATAAGCATTTTAGACCACACGATTCTGTGGTTTATATCTCATGAAGCATTCGATGACTTCCGAACTCCTCTAATCAATCCTTCATTGTTTCGAAAGCTCATGCTTGATCTCCCGCTCCATCAATGATCAAATGAACAATAGCCGAAGAACATAAGTCAACAGAAAAAGCTGTTTTCTTTTTCGACGGCAGAACTCTGAACTGCCGAATATCACTAATTTTTTTAAAGCGAACTCTTCGTTATTCCTTCAGAATAATTGTCGCTTCCAATATTTCCGATATCGTTTTGTGTGTCCAAGATTAGCCATCATCATTTTCAACCCAATTTGTCCATCGAACAAGGGCGCGAAATAGTTGACTCATTAAACAATTCTCTCATTGATTATGTGCGACTCAAAACGAGCGCGCTGCATGTTTCGGGGGAGAGGGTGTCTCGCCTCCGTGTTGGCTTTTCATTTTCGTCGCCTCAATTGGTCCGACGACTCGTATACATTAATTACGTTGAACGCCACAGACGGCTCAGCCAACAAGTGCCATTTCGAATGTTTCTGATTTTATCTCACTGCCTTCTGCGATTCCCTTTATGGTTTTCGGACGACGGAAACTCAATGCCCGAGTGATTTGTCAAGTTTTAAATAATTAGCAAGATGAAACGCGAGATTTGACGAGCATTCGTCATCCGGTTTGGTCAGTTGGATGAATTGTGGGTGGAAGGTCATTGCGGGTCTCACAGCGAAATTGATAGCTAGGCAAATATACACTTTTGCAACAGTCATCCTCAAAAGTGCACTAAACTCTTGGTATGTCTTCCCCCTCGTTCTCATTTATTTTCGTGTGCTGTTTAGTTTTAAAAAAGCTCTCCTCAATCAAAGTTTCTAAGACGGTAAATCACATTTGTCCATACTTTCCCATATTTTCTACGTTGACATTAGCACATTGTTTGTTGTTCATAAATTAAAAACCGCTTGATGTCGTGGTAACTGAACCCTAGAAAAGAGCCTGGTAGCACAGCTTCTGCAGATGGGCGTGGCTTGCATATTACTAGACGCTTCTTTGTATGATTCATTGGTTCCTTTTTCTGTTATATCAACAATGACTCTCATCATTAAACGATTGTCAGAGACGTGTTCTCACTATCTTCTTTTCTTAAAGGTCAATTTTTAAAATCGTATTTCGCTTATTTTTTGTTTAAATTCGCATGTCAAAATAACAATTTCGAGTTGTTTTTTGAAGACAAAAAAATGATTATGTGAAATGCTCAAGGGACTCATCAGAATCTTGGGTTTAACGAACATCGTCTCATCGCTCAAAACGCCGAAATTTAATGCCAGACACTTTCTCATTTTTCTCAACTAGGTAACATTTATTGGTGGCGAAAAAGCACGACAGACCAAATTGGTGCATCTCTCGCGTATTTCATTCCAAATTTCCGGCACCATGTGCGCATCCGGTAAAGAGAGATTCGCCCAAAATGTATCCGATTGCCACCGCCGGACGAGAATGTAAATATTCGACCCTCTACTATTTCTGTTTATTTGTCTTCTGATGTCGACGTCGTTGAAAAATATTTTGCCCTTTTTTTAGAAAGAAATCTTCAATTGAATACACTATCTATATCCACAAGAATCTAGAGATCTTGATTAAAGGAGCATGATAAAAGCGTTTTCACATGGCTCAAGATTGCAGTTGTTGCATTCCTATGTATTGTTTCAATTTCATTTTGAAGGCATCAATCAGAATTTGTGATTGTGTTTCTGTGAAACGCGTGTTGTTTTTCGAAATGTCAAGGTCCAAATAAGGAGCATCTGAGTACACAATAAATGTTGATTGACTTCTATCGGAGGAGGGCGGGCCCGATTATAATGAATCTGTATATTCTCGAGCAATAGCGTTTGCGCGTGTGTGTTTAGGCCACCTGCGCGGCAACGCCATCCATTTTTGGTCTATGTCTCTTTTGCACAGTACGTGCTCTCGCCTACCATCTTGGCTACATCAATGACTCTCCAAAAGCGGTGGGTGATTAACATTAGCCTCTTCATTTTGCATTCTTTTCGAGACAACACGTTTCGCTTTATGAATTTTCTGCCTTCTTCTATTCAACACTTTTCAAATAAAATATGAGCTGTTCTATATTAATGTAGACTTATCCGCTTCAATTAATATAAAAATACTATATTTCCTTTGCAATACTATATTTTTTTCATTTTGCTCCTTTGCAATACTATATTCCCCTCTAACTCAATAGAACAGCATTTGGCTAAATTCTTGTGGACTCATACGAATGACCAAATTTGGCTAGCAGAGTCCGACACCAACCCCAGTCATTAACTCATTTTTTGTGGCACGAAAACACCCTGTAATTATTGCGCCTTTAAGTGACATGTTGGTTGCTCCGTTCCAGTTTCATGTTTTTTCCCTTTCTTGGTCAAAACCACATGTTCTGCAGAGAGCATCGTTTTTCTTTGATGGGATTTGGAAGTGAATGGGTTCGCAAAATATTCATTCTTTTTTTTTAATTTGATTCTTTAAAAATCTAGATAGTTTTCGAAATTTTTGTTAACAATTCGAACTGTTTTGATCGATTTTTTTATTTTCATAGAAGGCTGTGCGTAATTGAAGATCCGACAGAACCATTCTATAAATAGGAATATATGATGCAATTTCAGTGTTGTTTTTTTTTCTGCCGTATATTCAAATTCTTCGTTCGCTGCTGCTCATTAAACTGGTCTATAATTAAGTCATCGGGCGGCGACGACAATTTTTGGAGCATTGTCCCGCCCGAGAGCTCTCAGCTCATTATCTCACCTTCCTGATGCAATTATGCTTCGAAGAAATGTGCTCATTTGAATACGTCGCGTGAGGAGCCGCCGAGGAGGAAAACGACCATTGTTGACATTAGCCAACTGGAAGTGAATGTAATCGAATTTGCCTAAATAAGGAGTGGCGGCGCCGCATTCAACAATACGCATTATCAACATGTTACGCCAAAAAAGAATATTTCACCACTGAGTTGGTGTGGTGTGTCGCCAAAAACCGATGTATTTTTTTGGTGGCCGCTCGTCCCGTTTTTTTTTTTCTTCTGGTGGTGATCGCCGTCGCTTTCCAAAAACTTTTTCCTCGTCTTTGCATTGCTCGTCGTCTTCTGCGATGTTATGCTTGCATTGCTTTTTCATCTCCTTTTTTTTGTGGCCCTAGTTGTATTTGGTGTCCTTCCCTTGAGATTGACCCCCCGCCTCCCATTTGAGGTCCTTCTTATTATGCGAAAAATCCAATATAATTGAGAGTTTAATGATCACTTTTCATATGGATTCTTCAACACCACCCGCGATGCTCCACTTTTCTCACGTTTGCAAAATTCTGGCGGATTTTCCTTCGAATTTAATTAAATCTACCACCTAGCTTGTCTTTTGAGAATTTTGTTTCAAACGTTGCAACTTTCAAATTGTTTTCAAAGAGTCGTCATTTCAATTTGATTAGAATTCTTCCTTTTTGAACTTCTTTCAAGCTTTCCAATATTCTTTAATTACTTTTCGGTAAATTCTGTTGCACCTTTAAACCTGATTCGCCATTTTATTGATTCCCATCGCATGAGGACCTTTTCAGGTTCAATGCGGCGTTGAAATGAATCCCAATAATCTCGCCGACAAACGGGACCATACTATTCAAAAGAGCCATTCTCATATGCTAATCCTAATTATCTTTTAATTTGAGTTCTCGCCCATTCTCACTATTTTTCTAAATTCTCTATATTTCACTAAATTGTAGAAAGCTATAGTTTAGAAACTGCTCAGTTTTATTACTCCATTCATATTCGATGATGAGATAAATAAATATTTTTGAGGCCAAAAACACCATTATCAGCAACTATACGAATAGGGTGAGAACGCAGTTGACGCGTAGTTTCTGGCGAACTCAATTTTATTTATTTTTTATAGGACCTCCTAGTTTTGTTGGAGCTTATAATTGAGTTATTGTAAACAACTCGACATGAGTGGACAAGTGAATACGTCGATCTTGTCACTCAACGAGTTCGCTTCAAATAACGTTGATGTCTGGTTTCTGATTCATATGTTCTTATACATATTTCCGAATATAGTTATGTATGTTTCAAAGCAGGCTTCTTCCTGTCTTCCTTTATTCATTTTCCGTCTTCCGATAATTTTTGAGTCGCCGCGGACGGCGCTAATGAAATTTTGCTCGAAACTCGCCACCTGTTCCATTTTCGGCCTTCGAAACCGACTGCGTGGGATTAGTGCGAATGTCCGGCAGATGATACTTACATTTTGTTCGAATTGGCTACAAAAAAGGCACGCACAGACAAAAACGCGGGCAATACAGCGACAAAACGCTGTCCTCGCGTGCCAAATGTGTTAATCCAAATTAGCGACCATTTTCGTCGATTTTGTTCTACATGCAAATTTCCATTCGACTGTTTTTTTTTCTCATTCAACTATTCTTTTTTCTTTGCTCTTCATTTCACAACAATGCACAATGTCAATTTTCTCACATTTCTTTTTATTTCCATTTATGAATGTGTTCTATGTTCGGACAAATTGCTCCACAATTTTCTTCCAAACGTTGTAAAGTATATATTTAAGTATCTCGAAAATTTTGCACAGTTTTAAAAAACACGTAATAAAAAATCGCAAAGGGATTGCAAGGGCGCGAAATTCGAATTTCGGTCATTTCAGGATCTCATAATTTTTTGATTTTTATCGAATATGTTTTTTATCAGCTTCCATATCTCGATTATTTCTTATATATTATCATCGCAAGAAAACGAGCAGCCCGAGTGTTTGTGGAACATCGTAATTTTTAATTCAAATTTGAATTTGAACTGTGAGAATTCGCATACCGTACTACTCGAACACGCTCTAAAACTACACAGAATGCTCGTTTTTTTGCGATTCTAATCATATCGCATAAATTCTAATTTCGATGCAATTCTTTGATGCAAACTCCCCCCAATATGTACAAAATGAAGAACTAATTATTTAAAATAGAAAAAGAAATTACAATCAACATTTGTTCCTTGTATTCATATGTACCGTGTATTCATAGCAGCACAATTCCTCGTTTTAGTCATCCTTCAGCTTTCATTCATTCGATTGTTCTAAATACAATATTGGGAAAGATTTTTGTTTAGTTACAAGCAACATGAGACGATACCATATTTGAATGTGTAAAATCGCGACTTCAATTCTTAACGATTTGCTTGATTTTGAATTTGCTGCACCAATCTTCTCAGAATTGTTTGAAAAAAGTGCATTGGTTGGGCACGTCGAAATTGGTCACAAGAAGCCATCCAAGCTTTTGTCTTGTAATCTGATTGTTCCGCTTGCGTGACGCATTACGGTCTGTGTGACATGGCCCCGACAATCTGGCCCAAACATTTCTTGTGTGTTGGTTCCGTTTCGCGGTCCGACTCTTCCATTTTTCACCACAACACACAAAAACTTCATTCATAACGAAATACCAAAAAAAAGTAACTCGCTTCTTTTTATTCGCCTAGTTTGCAGGTCTCGCCTCGAAATGTGTTGGGTTGTAAATTGAGGATAATCTGACAAGATCTTGATTGAATACCAGATGTTTGCCGTATTAATCATAACCCTTCACACACACACACACACACACACCCGCATTAAAAAAAAGTCGAGTTCGCGACCCGAAGACTCATTCACTTCTTCTCGCATTCTAATTTGAATTGCCTTCAAACCTGTGAGGAACGTCTTTTGTTGTGTGTTTTTTTTTACTTGTGTCCTTGGAAGTTTCTAGACTAGATATGGAATATTTATGAATCATATTTGAAAAAAAACACATGTTTTGATTTCATGACTCATTTCTTTTAATAAAACCCTTCCAATTTCCGAAATTTCATCATTTTATCTTGTGCTATCATCCCGATTGTCTTCACATTTTCATTGAGCATCTCTTTTGATCTCCAAATGATAGAAATCTCCTCAAAGTATTCAAGCTTTCAAAATAATACATTTCGCAAGATCTGAAAAAAAAATTATTCGATGGTGTCTAAAAATTGGAATTCTATGACTCATATTTAGTAAGATTAACAATTTCGCCATTCTAAGTTTTCCTAATTTTAAAACACAAATACAAAAATGAATCGGCTTCTGACATAAGTCTAAAATTGTGTTGATTGATATCCACTTATTATCTTTTTAGACCTTGTTAGGTCTACTAACTATCTCCACTATTATCATATTTGGGTCTCAAATCGATAGTTCCATTAAATCAACGATATTTCGAAATCGTTACGAGACGAGAATCATCGAGACTTAAACCGAAGTCCTGTCGATCGGTGGTTTACTGTACATCAACATGAATAAATTTCTTTCTCATTCATTTATTGATTTTCTCAATTCTTTTTAATAATTCCTATTGTTACTTGCCAGTGAATGGTAATTGTTGTGTGATAACACTTTCCGACCATTTATCACAATCGCAACACCGCCCGTTTACTTCCTGAGCAGCGTTCCTTCCTTCCATTCTCCATTATCATTTGCACTGCTCGACTGACCTCCACATATAATTTCCAATTGAATGCCTGTAGATCAATTAGCCGTTTTTGAAATATTCTTGTTACAACAGTATTTTGTTGGCTATTGTTTTATAATATTTCGGGTTTTTTTCTCGCCTCGAGATATGACAGATACATATAAATGCGTTTAAACATTAACTAAACGTTCGATTGATCCCATAATCGTTCTAACGACTGTTAACCTTGAACCACACGAGCCAATAAGCAGTTTCTCACAACGCTTTGGTCAACAAGACCTTTGAATAACTTTTCTGGCGCCATGTCGGATATTAATTGGTCTCGTCGGCACATAAAAAACCACAGTGTATTTATGTGATCGGAAGGTTTCTAGTTAGAGAAGTCGAAAACTCGTCATTTTTTTTAGTTTTAATATTCTTTTCCCATTTATATGGTTTTGAGAAGTCTATAATTCAACACTTACTTGCAAGTGTTATATTTTATTTCTTCTCATCCAATATTTCAAGTTTCAATATTTATGAGCTTTCGACACATTTGAAAAATATATAGTCTAGTTTAGTGGGTCTGTGAAAAATGTGGGGATTTTGTTTTAAATGAGCAATTTTCATTATTCAAAGAAGCCGCCTAACTGAATAATTTGCAAAACTGACCAGTTCGAAGATTGATGCTCATTGTGAGCCCACCGCGGCATTTTGATGTGCATCAAATGTTATGAATTGAGATGGCCGACGACGACGTTTGACTCGTACTCATAGCAGAGCGCATGAATTGCACCGTTTTTATGCGATGTTTCCCGTTTTTGAGTATTTCCATCGACATCTCAAAACGTCTTTTCCATTCACTTCGTAATAATTTTTGTTTGCAAAAATATTTATTCTACTTTGAAATCACTTAAATGATTTTAAACAATTCCAACAAAAACATTTTTTTAAACTGAAGCCAAAGTGAGAATTAGAGATACTGTAATCACTTAAAGGCGCACGTTGTGTTTTTTGCCTGTCTTGACGGGAACGTTACGGTTTTTACTTATTGTGCTCAGTATTTTTGAATTATTAATATTTTTACGTCTGCGTTAATATTTTTTGAGCATCATTTCGAAATTACTCATTACTTGCTAGAATAATAAATCAATACTTGAATGAAGGTGAGTTTTTCATGACTTATAAGTGCAAAGTCAGAAGGGGTTCGCTTTTGATTCGTCACGGTAATAAATTTTATTGGCAACCATCACGCATGCGACAACATCAATTTTGATCGGCTCGATATTAGCAAAGGCGTAATGCCTCGCCGGCACAGTCATTGACCACAAAAGGGCATCTATCACTCGCCGCGCAGTGTTCTTCTCTTTGTCTCTCGCAATGATTCGAATCCGATGCGCATCTATTTCGACGCAAAAATTCCTCTACCTACTAGTCACCTCCAATTGGCATTTTCTACATAGTACCTCTGATCTTTTTTTATTAGATTTTTTTTTGCGGATTTCTGATTCACGAAGGTCATTTCGCGCATGGTTCTCAGACGGCGAACACATTTCCGAGGACGCTGATCCGTTTCTCATTTGCATAATCTCTCCGCTGATTGAAACGTCGTCTTCGTATTTCTGCAGAAAAAATATCGAAATTTTGCCCGCTCTCACTTTTTGTGTTTCCTTTCGCTCAACAATTTTTGCTCCTCCCTTTCCAATATTAATTTTCGGATCAAATCCAATTTCGCAAACTTTTTTCGATGTAATCCGTTTTTATTTTCAGAATAGTGGCGAACGAATCCAAACGAATCACGCCTTTCATTTAGCCAGATATCTAGGAGCAATGACCAGCAATAGCGGTCTCATATATATTCTCGTTTTTGCCACATCACTAAGCGGTAAGTTTGTGTTATTTATTTTTAAAACAAATTCAAGAAAAATTCAATTAAACATCAATTTAGTGTAAAATTTCAATTATTTTTTATTTTTTTAATTGTTACTTTTTGGGATATTTATGAAACGAATTTCTTTAATAATTAAAGTTTGAGTTTAAATTGAAAATCTGAAGCGAAATGCGTCTATTATGACGCATTTTCTAATTTTGCGCATTGAAAACCGTAACGTCAATTGTTTCGATTCGCATCGATCAATCGAATTGTTGCATTTTGAATATAAATATCTTTCTAATCCGCGCGTAAACTGGCGTCAGTTTTTGCGCGATCATCTTCCATCAATTTCCAATGCCACCACATGTCAGTTTAGTCTCGGCGTCCGGCCTTACCGATAATATTCTGGGAAAATGCGCCAAAAAATCGAGTGTGGGAGTTTTTCGCGGCAAATAAAAAATTAAATCTCGATTTGAGTAGATATAATTCACATTCCCAAAAATGGGGAGAGGGGGTTATTCGAATTCTGGATATTGGTGTTTTATTACTGTAAACTAGTCAACCATTAATATGTTGAATTGCTAGATATAATTACGATAAAATAAAACCTATGAAAAATGACCAAACATTTTTATTACGGCTGTGTTTGATCGAAAAATTCGCCAATGTGCGAACGTTTTTCTGTGGAACACCAAAAAATCGGCGGAGCAGTGTTAGATTTGTACCAATTTTCTAACAGATTTAGAATTTTCTTTGCAAATTTTCAAGAATGAGATATGATATTTGAATTTCCTCAAAACTCGCTAACTACTTTAGTATTAATACAGTAATTCGGCCTGACAGCGTTAAAAATAAAAAGCGCTCAGAAGATCGTGGGCCTATGCCAAGACACAAATCTGACTGACTGTTCATTAAAATGTTATTTTAGTAAAGGCATGGAACAAACATACACGATATCCAAATGTTGTAGTATATATGACGATTTTGTCTTCTATTTGCAATTTGAGACTGACCATTCTTCAAAATTTTGCTTTTCTATGGATTTTCGGTGCTTGTAAAATTTGAGTCACTTTTGCCTATTGGGTATCAAACATGTAAAATTCGTGATTGTTTTGTTTTGTGGAAATACCCATTTTTTGTTAAAAAAAAAACTTTCTTTTAATATTTCATCGATTACAGTAGCAAAATCTACTATTGATTGGTCGTCGATCGAGACGCCTCCACAATTTGTGCACGAACCGAATCCCGAAACCGTCTATTTCAAAGTTGAAAAGAGTGTCAACGATGGGAGCGAGCAGAGTAAAACACCCGAAAATCTTTTAGAACAGACGATTCGATGTGTCGCCAACGGAAATCCGCGGCCATCGTAAGTTTTTGGAATGAAAATAGATTACTAGAATTATTGATTTTTTTGTAGATATCGCTGGAAAAAAGATGGAAAAGCGTTCGAACCGGCCATGTTTCCTGAGAAAGTCGTTCAGAAACCGGGTGAAGGTTTAAAATGCAAAATCATCTTCGAGATTATTTCGTTTTATTTTGTAGGAAGTTTGGTTTTCTCAAGATTGGATGAAACTGATGTCGGAGTTTATCAATGCGAAGCGAGCAACAGCAATGGAACTGCCGTTGATCGATCTGTTAGAGTACAGGAGACATGTAAGTGAACAATTCTGTAAATCGAAGTGAAAACAACCTAAGAACCCTTTCAACACTAGTTTGCAGGATTTGAAGAAAATTTTTAACCGAGAAAGCCGTATCTGCATAAAACTTTAAGAGATTTTAGAGTGCTATAAGTTTTTAACTAATAATTGAATCTTTTCTGTGGAAAAAGTGAAAAAATATCATAAACGCGCACGTTTTTCGTTCAGAACGTTTTTTAATTTACTGATTTTACACTTTTTATGAAATGCGATTTTTTTGCTTTTTTTAACGCTTGCAAAATTTGAATATTTTTTGCAGGGATTCGACATTTCCCCGTCGGAGAACCGGAAGTTGTAATGGTGGAGGTTGGTGATCCGTACCAGCGTAACTGCACCCCACCTGCTAGCAACCCGAACGCCAGGTGCGAACTTTAGCTTTTTCTCAGCTATAAAAACATGTACAGAATACCAAGTGGTACTTGATTGAATGGCCAGTTTGCCTTTCTATTTTGGAACGAGTAGAAACAAACAGTCTCAATGTTTTAATTCGTTGGGCAAACATGATTTTCGGACTGGCAAAACATTTTTCGATATTAACGAACGAAATCGTGAAATTTCCTCAATTAAAAGCTAATAATTATGAAAACATTTATTGGATGACGGAAAGGGGGAAATTATCAATTATTATTCCCGTTTTTAAGTTAATCCAGTTTTTTTTTATCCTAATGAAATTGATATGTTGAAATTCAATATTTGTCAAACATGTTGAACCTACATATATTCAGCTATTCTAACCAGTGAACCCAGAAACTTGATATCAGACGTTTAATGCATTTTTGAAATATGATAAATACGACTAACGTCTTCAAAGTTTCCAAATTGTTGTTCTTTTTCTTATTAGACCCCTATTTTTGGCGAATATCCCCGATAAACTGCATATTATAGAGTTTACTGGATACTGAAAGGCAAGGAACCCGGACAATTCGAGACGATCAGCAGCAGTCATATTTCGAGCAACGAACAAGTTTGTTTATTTTTGTGCCATTTAGCAGAACCGTTAACCCGGAAACGTCGTCGTCGTCGATTCCTCATGTCTCCCACAAAAAAAGTGGTGGAGAAAAGAAGCGCGAGAAACTACAGCTGCAGCTTCTTCCAAATTCGGAAACGAGCATCCGTTTCCGTTTAATCTTTCACATCTTCTCTCTTGCCCATCAACTCGCGCATTCGCGTCCATTGTCTTAATGACCCTAATTGGGGAAGAAGAAAAGCCTCTCCCAATGCTCGAGAATTTCACATTTTGAAGTGCTCGGCGCTTCTTCTTCTTCTTCTTCGTCTTCTTCTTTTCAACAATTCATTGTAATGGTCGACGTAGTTTTGATGATGATGATGATGACCTGATGAGAAAATGCTCCGATTTATTCGTGTCTTTTTTTTCGTGCTCTGACCCAAGTCGTTTGGAATTCGATGGCTCCTTCGCTCGTCGTTCGCTTTGTTTATACGGCGTCGTTACCACTGCCCGTCCCTCTCGAACTCTTTTTTTCTCCACACGATTTGGATATGCCTTTCTATACGAATATTCCTTTTTTTTTCGTTGACGTAAAATATCGCCGGCAAAAAATTTTCCGACAATTTATGTTTCGATCAAAATTCGTGGGCATATTTGAAAATTATTGCGTTTTTTTTATTCGTATCGCTCGAAATTGGTTCGCACTTTGTTTGTTTTTTTTTTTTTTTGAAAAATTTCAAACATTTATACCATTTTTGGGAAATTTTCGAATGTTGAGCACACACTTGGGATTTTTTGGTGTGGGTTTCATTAATCTTCGCGGTGCCGTCGTCTCTTTCTCAAATGGGCTCCAATGAGCGTTGATTTGTTGGTCGCAATGTTTTGAAAATGAGATTTACAACCATATTGTTTAATGAATCCAAGTTTGCAAACAAACCAAATCAAATTGTGTGCGTCAATTTCATTTTCTCAAATATGTGCCTTTGTAGTTCATTTCCGTAGTGCCAATTTTACGATTCTTCAAAAATCGCGGTTTTTATTCTGTTAGATTGCTAGATTGTTGCTGAGTTTGTTTCTTTCCGTTGCGCATAATTTTAATTTGGCGGTGTCTACCGTATTTTGAATGCTTGAAAGGACAACGAGCTTAATTCGAATTGTTTGTTTTTATTCGCGTTTTTAACCCCACCAGCAATTAAATACATCGTTTCTCCAATTCTATCTTCTTTTTTTCTCCAATTTTTTGTTGATGCTTCGTTCGTCGCGTTTAATGGCAATTAGCGCGAAAAAAAAACCAGCCCACTTGGACGATTTGCGAATTGCGCTGAATCGGACCATTTGCATTATGTGTTGATTTGTTTTTTCGAGACCAATTTAGGAGGAGGAGTAGGGGGGACCAAACCACCGCGCGCAGCTCCGGTTCACCCGTACCTCACTTTACCCTTGTCCACACCCGTTGCCTCCCCCTTTTCTCCCTTTTTCTATTATTCGCATCTCGTTGGGTTATTTATTCCGGGCATTGTTGTAGTTAATATGGCAAGAGGGGGGCGGTCGAATGAATAATAAAAAGCGAATTGAGTCGACCCGTCGGACCGCATCCGACCTCGTCATTCTAACGGTTTCCTTGGTCTGCAACTTCTCTCCAAGTGTCGAAGCAATTTGTAGATTTTCGTCGTTCACTGTATTTTTTCCGATGGTTGTAATTGACCTTGGCTGCCTTCGATTTGTAATTGTTGCGTACCATACGATGACTATTATGAGTTGTTATTCGGAAAAAAGTGTGAATCTTCCACTCCTTTATATATTTTTTTCACCTTGCGAGAGCTGCCTGTATTTGTACAAAATGTACAAATATGGGCTTGGTTTTGTTAGTTTCTCCCCATCAATTGATTTGCTTGTATCGTTGGCACGCTCCATGTGTTTTTCTTCATGGGATTCTTGTTTTTGGCTTTCAACCAAGTTGAATTTTTTTTTATTTATTGGGACACTCATATTTTTTATGTTCCAAAATAAGCAAATCATCTTTTAAAAAAAAACAATCGATTAATTTATTTTCGTTTCTTGTTATTTATTTTGCGAATTTTTCTATATTTTCAATTTAAAAATTTCAAATTTTGATCATTTTGTTCCAAAAAAAGAGCTAATTAGCATATTATTTCACCTGCCCAACCAGAACGCTCGTTATTTTATACCATCTGTCCGAAGGTCTGCGATTTCGAATCAAAATTATTCAACATTGAATTCAACTGTCCCCGATTTCACAATTTCAGATATATTTTGCAAGTTTTCATGCTAATCCCTTTTTTTCTGAAATCGCTCCACATGCCAATTTTCAAATCTAAATTTAACTCTTTCATACAGTAAGAAAAAAAAGGTTGGCAAATTTAAAATACTCAAAATTTCCATGGAAGAATAATAGATTATGTTTGCTTTAGTCTGTGAGCGTCGCAAATAAGATTATTCGCTCGTAATATCCCTTAAAAGGTGTTCTTTTCTGCGATTGGCGAAGCTTATCATCCCAAACACAATCATATCAGAACATCTTCGTCGACGGCATTCTCTCTAACGTATCAAAGAAACAAAATTTAGTGGGCGGAGCCAAAATAACTAAGAGGGGTGGAGTGAGAGGGAGAGGTTATTTTTCGCGGAGTGGCGACCACCGACTCGCAAAATAGGTTGCGATTGGAAGAGACGGGGGCGATTGTTTAGCGACAGCGAGTGAGCGAGCGAGCGCGCGTCAGTAGCTGCAGCAGCAGCGGCAGTAGCGGCAGGAGAAGGAGTGCGAGTGTATTGCGAGTGCGAGAGTTGTGTTTGGTGTTACTGCTGCCACCGCCAACGGCACTCCTTTTCGATCTCTGTCTGCTTCTCGGGATCCTCGTCGCGATCTCTCCCTCTCAATTTCGTGTCTTCTACTCGCGTTTGAATTTGACTTTGAAACCACCGTCTCCATCTCATCTCAATTTTCTCTATTGTTGTTGTTGTTATTTGTTGTTGTTGTTGTTTTGATTTTTGCGTTTCTTTGATTTGCCGCAGCTGCATCGCTAAATGTCGTTGTTTTACAGTCTCCAACTCCTCTTTATTCCATTCTTCCTGTTCCTTGTGTTCATCGTCGCTTTGACGCAATTAACTTTTGCTCGGTGATCTGCTACAATTTCTACTGCGACTCATGCTGAAAGTGCGGAGCTGAGATTGCTCGGTGGCTCCTAGTCGTATTTTTTGAGGAATCATGGTGTTGCGACGAACACCAATGGCGGTGACGTTTCCGGTCTACGCGCTGCTATTCTTACTCTACCTGGTATGTTTCATCTTTTTGCATTTTGTTTTAGGGCACATTGTTCTTTCACTATGTTAATGAAACGGATTTGAAGTCTGACCGCTACTACACATGCACCGCCGAGAACATCGAGCTCAAGGATTACAAGTTTGGCAATCAGTTCAGTCTGCAGATCACAAATAATAAGCGGAGGAGCTGTAAGTCATTTTGAATTTATTATAACAAAAAAGGAAATGAGAAGAAATAATAATCTGATAGTTATGTTCCTTTTTTCTGTGAACCAACTATCAAATCAAAAATTGATATGCAACGATTACTTTTTACTGTAGTTACTTTTTACAATACTGCTATTCGGTTTCAAAATCTTTGATTAAAAAAATTAGTCTAGAAAACACGAGTATTTGTTGAGAAGCTCTTTTCGGATTTAATATATTCAATTTTATGTGTTTTACACTCTCTGAGTGATCACGTTTTTGCTTCAATTTGTCTAGTTTTTTTCAATCAATTGTTCCAATTTTGGTATTATTTTTTATTAAGAAGAAAAACTGACTAATATATATGTGTGTGAGTATTTGAAACAACATCGAACAATGCCTCCTCCTCCCCCCAACCCCACGCACAAAATTTGTGATGAAATTATCCTCGTCAAAAAAAAGTTTCTCTTTCGTTCTCTCGATCTCTTCCCTCGGTTTTCCGGGCACTGATTCGATGTGTTGTGTTTGTCCTTTTGGCACACACATACACACACACGCGCAACGGAATATGTTGCAATTATTGACATTGTCAAATATACGTGTATTTTTTAATGCAAAAATCAATATGGAGTGATGAAAGAAATCGGATTTGTTAATTGAATTGATAAGTTGTTCTCGCGCGATCGTGTTGTCGTTTCGATTATTTTATACGTCTGTAGTCTCTAATACCGCGACCTCCGACAGTATTTATCTTTATTGAATATTAGTAGTAACATTGGTGGGATGCGGTGTCGTCGGGGCGGTCGGAATGATGACCAACACTCAAAAGAATGTCGCCGAGTTTAATGCAAAACGGTTGATGGTGTCGAATTTCGGCGAAATTCGCTGGCTTTTCCCGCCATTAATTGCTGAAGCCGAATCATCAACACGAGCAGCGAGATTTCGCATTTGGCGTTTCCAGTTGGTCGAACAATTATTTCCACCTTTTTTGGTGTCCAGCTGTGAGCTCTTTGGGGCTACTTTTCCTCATTGGCGACCACTTTGTCCAGTTGGCAACAATTTCTCGTTGTCATCATCGGCCCGCGTATTTTTTTTCTTCTGCTGACTGAACACACGTAGAAAAGAGGCAACAGCTGTTTATTGTTGTGTTTGTTAATAGTGGATGGATGAGTTGGCGATGAGATGAGCGGGTTTTCTGCTACATGATGATCTCGCTGGCATACTGGTTATCGCAGGAAGAAAAAAAAACGGGTGGAAATTGAGAACTGTGTTGTTCTTGGAGTTTCGAATTCGAAAGACAATCAAGAATTTCTGTGTATCTTCTTAAAGTGATTAAGACTGTGTGAATTTTCTGATACGAAATTATAGTATATTTTATCTAGATGAAAACATTTTCAAAAATTGTCATTTCGAATTTTCTAAATGTATGTTTTATTTCGTTGATGACCATTTTTACTCAGTTTCAAGTGTCCGCCGCATTTTTTGATATAACAGATGACTTCTTTGATGAGTGACTTCATAAAACTAAAAAAAAACGTACAACTGTTGGGTGCATTTTTTTGAAAGATATTCACTCGGAATCGATCTTTGATTGAACTCCATTCTATTGCAAATTGTTTAAAAATTCGAGACCAGGTCTCATAAGAACAAATGGGTTTTTTCTTGGAGTATGGGTGCTGGCACATTTCCGGACCATTCCATTTTTGCGAGCCGTCCTACATTTCCGTCCTGCACTAATGTCTATTTGGTTCTGGAGTGATCGTGCTATATTTCTCAAAACATTTGGTAAGCTGTGCCAGCCGAAACCCGAAACGTGTTTGGGGGTGAGCGATATTCCCTAGTGACAGCGACAATTGGTTGAAGAGATAAATTTGATGGAACTCTTCCAAAAAGGACGACTCGCGACACACCATTTTTGTTCGATTCATAGAAGAGCCAACGAAGCATTTGGTGGAAGCGGCCGAGAAATGAGAAACACGCAATTCGTTGGGCCCTCTATGACATGTGCTCTCTTGTTTCGCCTTCAACTTTTGCAATATGCGTGTGTGTGTGTCGCATGAGACGTTTTTATCTTTATTTCGAAACGTCTTCCGCCCTTCTGGCCCGGCTCGGCGATTAAAAAGCGACCTTTTTGAGACAGAAGACGTACGGCGGCGAGCTGTGCCATCACGGAAATCACGTCAAAAATGGCTGTCAATATTCGAACTGACATGTCATGTCGCGTCGAATTCATCTATCATTATTCCATGACGCCCACCCACATGCATAGGTCCGCAAAATACCCTTCTGATGAGGAATTGATTTATTTGTTTTCTTGGCATACTGTGGAATAATGCGTTGAAAAAAAAATAGATGATTTACTGTCTTTGTGTATATCGTATCAAATGTCGTCGTCGGGTTTGAACACTCGAAATTTGAGAATCGACTACCGGAAACATTTCGATGGGCACGACAAAAAGAAATGAAAAAAAAAACACGTAATTTTGTTTCAATGTGGGCGCATTTCTCATTGGTTTTTTGCGTTCTCATTTTGCCGCCGTGCTTTCTTCACCAAGAGAGAAGAACACACCAATTTTGAAATGATGCGCAGGGGATCATCTTGAACGCGCAATATAGATGAGGACGTCAACGAAGGCGATGTGTTTGAAATAAATCATTTTCGTGGGGTGGGAGCGAATGGATATGTGATGAATAATGAAAATCGGAATGCTGGGGAGATCCTGGAGAAACGCGAGATTTGAATTTAAAAATATTGGATGTAGCTCAAAGAATTGAAAACTACCTCTACTAAATTCGTGGACAAATTTATGTAAAATTAATTTTTAAAATAAAATTATTTTTTAAATTATTTAAGTTTTAATTCGGTTTAATTTTGTGTATTTCAGTAACTCAGATGCCCCCAACTGAACAATATGTCAACCAGAGTTCACCAGTCGCCCTACAAGGTCAACAACACAAATTACATTGCTTCTTTTCCGGATAGTGAGTTTTGTGTTCAATTCTCTTTTTCTTGTTCAAATCTCTTCTATTCTCGTTTGTGTCGTCATAGTAATGCGCCGAAAGTTGTGTTTTGCCCCTCGCGATTTCGAACGACCAGTATATGATGCGGGGTTAGGCTCACGCCTTTCTGAGTGCCAGGTTCGAGCAGCCGCTGCTGCTGCTGGTGCTACGCTGCTATAAATGGATGTGTTTGAGCGAGAGTGTTCGTCTTCTTACAAAAAACTCGAGAGAAGCAAAAAAGGAAGGAAGGAAGCCTGAAATGTTGTCGGCTGCTTTTTTGACATGAAAATAAGAGATAAGATGTGTTTTTTGGTGGAAGAGCGCGATATTCTTTCGAGGGATGCCGCTGTCCTCAATGGTGGGTAATCATCCGAAAAGTACAATACATAGATCGCCGCAGTAATTATTTTATGGATGCAGGCACACCCGGTCGCGACAATTATACAATCTTGATATAGTTTTTAGAGCGAATGTTTTTAATGCGTTGTGACCTTTTAAGGAATAGGCAAAGGTGTCGGGGGCCAGGTGTTGACATATATCCAATTCAGCGCAGCTTCTCAATAATTCATTTGTTAGCCATTTACCATGATCAATGTGAGCAGTTTGAGTTAATTCGATCTATTTTATAAAGGTGCAGTTTTTGACTGGTCCTTAATTGATATTTGAATTTAATTATAGGCTTTGCTAGGATTACTGCTTGGATGTATTATTATTATTATTGATGAATTCGCGCATGAGTAATTAGGCGATGGCGGCGACGGCAAATGTTTTGTGTATGTGTGCTGGTTGCCATTGGTGATTTTGTTTAAAGGAAACGAGCGACATTCGGGGGATTCGAGATTAAAAAGCATGAATGTGCGCGGCGGAGGTGCAAGCGAGAATCGTCGAGCTCAAAAATAGCAAACGAAATGAGGGATTTTTTTTTTCAGTCCTGCTCCAAAACCGAGATGGTTTCATAACGGAAAAGAAATCAGCGAAGATAATGATGCGAACGGATTCCGTTTCGAATCATACGGAAAAACGCTGGTTTTCAATGTGACACAGGATAAAGCTGGAAAGTATGATTGCCGATTTGCGACACAAAATGATATTGATCGAACGTTCAATGTTGTTGTCGAAGGTAGGCGAATATTCGAGTAATTTCAAAAGAAATGCTCTTATACCAATTTATTTGCATTTATTCATTTTTCATTTAGCTGCTCCTTATTGGCCCGATGGTCCACCACCGAACACGAACACTAGTGAGGGAGAGACTGTGACATTCGACTGTACAACTTACGGAAAACCGACGCCTCGCGTCACCTTCTACAAAAATGGAGTTGGTAAGTAGAACTTGTTTTCGTTCATTTCCTATTTGAAAATATTTTCCAGAGATGAAAAACGACAAAGATGAATGGTTGATCGAAGGCACGAAACTCACGATTTACGACGTGAAAAAAGGCATTCATGGACGTGGAGACAACGCTGTCTATCAATGCAAATCGGAGAACAAACATGGGTATTTATGGGCCAATTTCTATTTGAATTTGTTGGGTATGATTGAAAATATGGCCGCGTTGACGAATTTATTCGAATTATTTCAGCATTCAAGCCGCAGCTTCTTGTCGAGCCAGGAATGGACGAGGTCGAGGCAGTTGCTGGTAAAAAGGTAACACTCGAATGCAAGTTTTTCGCAAGTCCCAATGCCGCCGTCACCTGGGAATCACCGATTCTTGCCGGATTACCACACACACAAGTTCCAGCGAATCACTACGGAGTTGGAAAACTTGTGATTGATAGTAAGAAACAAATCTATTGAAAAATGAAATGCAAAATCGAATTTTAGATGTGAAACCCGAAGCTGAAGGCGAATACACTTGTGTCGGAACCAACAAATATGGACAGGCTACTGGGCTTATCAAACTTCTCATCAGAAGTAAGTCTCATTTCTTTTATTCTGAACTCATTGTTCAATTTAGAACCGACAATCATTGAACCATTCGCGAGGTCGGAAGAAATCCGAATGGCCGGTGAGGAAATGCGATTGCCTTGTGATGCGACCGCTGATGATCAACTCGAGGTGAAATACGAATGGTTGGTTGATGGAAAACCATTGCCGGAAGACAATATCGCGTCTGGGCATTACAAGATTGATGACGATCATTCGCTTGTAATTTCCAATCCGACACAATACGATAGTGCCAAATACAAATGCGTTGTTAGCACGAAGCTCGACAAGGTTGAGAAGGAAGTCAAGATCCAAATCAAAGGTATGTGTCTCTTAATCTAATACCAATTTCACAAGCCGATTTAGATGTTCCTGTTCCGGTCAACTCTGCCTATGTGAGCAAATGTGATCCAAACTCGCTTTCTGCTGAAATCTCTTTTGAACACATGGAAGCTGCGAACATTATCTCGCCGGTTAAAGAATTCTGGGTGCAATATCAAATCGATTCGGAGACGGAAGGAGCTCAATGGCGCACTCACCCGGGTGCGGTCGATGCTCACCCGAATGATCAAATCGAAGGAGAGTTTAGAACGGTCCGAGGAAAGACAACGGTTGCGTTACAACCATTTGGAAAGGTATGTTAAATTATTATTTTCGACAATATGAAAAATATTTTTTTAATGCTCTCAATTGTCCTGTTTCAGTACGTTTTTCGTGTTATTGCTCGAAATGCCGTTGGAGACAGTGCTGCGACGAATGCTAAAGATCAATGCAACACTCCGGCGAAACAACCCGACAGTAATCCGACAAATGTTGCCGCAAAAGGAACAAGCCCTGAAAATCTGATTGTTGAATGGCAGCCAATGCCAAGAGAGCAATGGAATGGCGCCGATTTCCACTACGTCGTCAAATATCGTCCGAAAGAAGACGGCCAAGGAGTTGGAGAGTGGAAAGAGGTTCAAGTCGCAGATCCGTTCGCTGATCGTGTTACAGTGAATCTCGATGACGATAAAGATGTGAAGCCATTCCAGCCATACGAAGTTCAGGTTTGGGCGGTTAACAGCGAAGGGAAAGCGAACACGGTACCGGAAACTGCGGAAGGACGTACAGGAGAAGGAGTACCGAGCAGTGTGCCATCAGGATTGCGAGTTCTTGAGAAATCTGGGACTACAGTGACTCTCGCTTGGAATCCGATTGATCCGGCTACGGCTAACGGCAACTTCACTGGATACAAAATCACATATTGGGTGGAGAACGAAGAAGATGAGGCAGAGGAGGAAGCCGATGCTGAAGAAGAGATTCAACGTTTCCGATTCAAGCACCAAGTTCGCAGACGCCGGTCGCCTGGAGAAAGAAAGACTGCCATTTTTGGGCCAAATGCGAGTCAAGGAACCATCACCGAACTCAGGCCGGCAACTCTTAACCGCGCCTTCATTCAAGTATATTTAGAAGCATATAAATGAAATGCAAAAAATTATAATAGGTGACAAATGGAGCCCACGAAGGAGCGCCTAGTGAGACGATTGAATTTGAAACTGACGAAGGAGGTGGGTCTCATTGTGATATAAAATTGCAAAGTGGGTTCTTTTTGTAGTTCCATCACCAGTTCGAGCTCTTCGCGCCTATCCGATGAATTCGAAGACGCCAAACGAGAAAGGAGTTGTTGTTTTGGTTTGGAAGAAGCCACGACAAGCAAACGGAAAGCTAACGAGATATGAGGTAGATCTGAGTATAATTGAGTTAAAAACTATAATGAATGTTCAGGTTGAATATTGTAAACTTCAAAACGGAAAAGTTGTCGAGAAAACGTGCCCGCGCAAACAAATTGAAGCCGATGCCAAAGAAGTGAGCACAATTTTTTTAAATGTTGACATCAATTTCGAACACAGATTCGTATAACTGGACTGGAAAATGAGACCCCCTACCGTTTTGTGTTGCGCGCACAAACATCGGCCGGAGAAGGAGATCCGAACTCGTCTGATGCGACCACGTTGCCTGAAGTTACCGCAGCTGGAGGTATGATTTGAGTACACATTGAATATATGGGGGGGTCATATCAGATAGCAAATGGGGGAGTTCTTATCGTATGATATTTTTGAAAAATTAAAAAGCAAGTATTATTAGACATCGAATGATAAATATTTCATGTTAATCAAAATTAAACCCCTTTTTCTTCTGGCGCTCTAAACAATCCATTTTTTGTTTTTTTTTTTTGGCAATATTGCGTCAATTTTTCTTGTTAGAACACTCTTTGCACTCTGCACAATTCGCTCATAATTCACTTGGGAAAAGAGCACAATGGGATCATATTGGTTCACATTGGATAATGAGCTAATTGTTTTTTTTTTTTCGTTTGCTCACACTCAATTTCTCTTCAAGAAATGCCATCCATCAACGATAGCTTTTAATTCATCCACTCATGTTGATTGAATTAATTGAGTAGTCGAACACTAGTAGTTCTGTTTCGGCTGCTGCCGCTGTTTCTGCAGATACATATGCGTTTGGTTTTTTTGTGTGTTTTGTTGAACGAAAAAAAAGCTGAAGAAGAAGAAGTGGAATGAGAAACGAACTCGAGTCAAAATAAATGAGAACGGAGTACTGCGGCAGCGGATGGATGGGTGGAAGAGCTCAAATGGGCGGAGTCTCAATCGTCTAACACCTTCGCCTGGGTCTCAGCTGCACAAGAAGCGGCCGCAGAAGCAGAGCCAGCCAATTCCACCCATTTAGTGCAATTCTCGTTGTTGCACTACTCCTCGGCCCGTCTCGTATTCATTTGTTTATTTGTTGTTTTTTTCTCGTCTTCGATCGTTGTCTTCTTCTTCTCCATCTTCTTGTGGAATTCGGAGCGGCTGTATCTTTTCAACGCCTGTATTAATATTTATATACTACCGATAAATAGTATATACGGCGAGACACCCTTGTTTTGGCGTCTGTTCGAAACCACTTTCGCCTATTCAAATCGCATCGGCCGAATCTGTTCGCCGTTTTGGGGTGTCATCGGTTGTTGGTGTTGTTTTGAAATCACCGCCTCACCACCATCGTTACTCATTTTGTACGAATGTTGCCGATTGTGTCGATCATTCTTCTTCTTCATTTGCAACTTTTGCAGAGCGGTAAGAGTGTTTTTGTGGTGTTTTTCGTGGAATTCCCTGCCCCAAATTTATGTGTTTTTTTTTTCATTTTCACAAAGACGTCGTTAACTCGGGAAATGCATTCGAAGAAATGAGGATTTGGGATTTTCGATAAACCCGAAATAAAATGAGCAAAACTTTCTCCCAATTTTGTTTGCAATTCTGTTTGAGATGAAAATTTTCTCTAGAATATCAAAAATCTCAGAATTATTCGTAATTTTCTTCTAATTTGCTTGAAAAATGAGACCAAAAGACTATTTTTTTTTCTTCTCAATCTTCGAAACTGCATATAAGCTGGAGGCAGTTTCCAAAAAAAAAACAATCAACTCGCTGAGCATTTTTGTTCTGCTCCGTAAATTGTGCCCATAACAATTTCCTCCTCCCTTTTTAGGGTTTCTGGTGTACATGGTTTACTTTTTTTCTCAATAGAAGCTTCTTATAAAAAAAGAAGGCTTCAATGTTTGCAATACGAAAAAAATGCTGCGGATTATATATTATTCATAGACTCTAAAACGCCTTTTTGCTCTCCTTCGCGTTAAATCATCATTGTTTATTCGGCGACAATGAAATCGACGACGAGCTCATAATCCCTCGTATTTCTTCTTACGACGACGTCTCCATGAAGCACAAATCTGACGGAATCGATTACGAAACCGCTCGGTGTCGTTAATTTTTTTTTCGTTGGTTTCCTTCCTTCTCGTCGACGTCTTCTTCTTCTTCAGCTCGCGCCCATGTGTGTACCAAGCTCGAGAAAGACATTAAATTAGACGAGAACCCTTCTGGTCGCAATCGAATGCCTCAACATCTAAATAGTGTAGTTTTGGCGCATTTCTTTTGCCTTTCAGTGCTGGAATATTAATCGAATTACGGGCACATTTTTCAAGCGCACGAATTGAAAATTTGATTAATTGTCGGAATTGTTTGTTTGATTTTTTTTTGGCTGGATATTTTATGAGAATTCGACATGAGAAATTTTGATAATTCCCCGAGTTATACGATTTTCTAATATACGTATGCAGATTAGAAGAATCTTAAATATTCTAGGAAGGCTTGTCAGAGAATTAAAGTATACATATTCAGAGCAGAGTCTTCCCTAATTAGAAAATATATGTTTCAGATTTAGTTAAAGTCTGGTTTTTCAAAATAGGGGATTACTAAAAATGAGCTAGGAAATCATTGTGTCTAAACAAGCGGGTAGATGGTAGCTTGGCAATAATCATCACCTTCGCCACCTGCCACAAAAAGTACCAATTTAGCAGGTGTATCACCCCCAAAAATACATACAATTATGAAATCTTAGACCCCATAAATAATATTAGTATTTGCAGTTGATCCTGGAGTGCCGACTATCGTAGATCAAGAGATTGGCGATAAACACTTTAATGTGTCTTTCCGTCCCGCCGAGTATGATGAGGAGACTCGTGGTCCAGTTGGAAACACATTTGAAGTTGAATACAAGGAGAAGAATTCGGATGAGTGGAAAACTGTCAAAGCTAAAGGTAACATTGTGAAATATTTTTATTAAAAAAAAAATAATAATATATTGAACATTTTTAGACGACGGAAGCTTGATGGTCCACGTTGATGAGCTCACGCCAGGAACGAGATATGACGTTCGTGTTGCGGCTCTTCAGAAAGATCCGAGTGGTGATGAGGTCGGAAAGACGTACTCGAGCATCAATCACATCACGACGAAGGGCACTTCGCCGAGAAGCATCCGATTCTGGCTTTTGATTCTGATTTTGTTGATCATCCTTCTCCTTCTTCTCATTTGCTGCATAATTTGTGTCGCATTGAGACATCGCGGTGAGAACTATCCGGTATCGCAGAGAGAACGCGAACAAGGCAGAGAGCCGATCTTAGGACGAGGAAGCGATAAACAGTGAGTTCAAAAAGGAATGACTCGCTGAGTGTTTAATCATTGATTTTCAGCGATGACGATGAAAAACGGTCGTTGACTGGATCAAAGGCCGAATCTGAGACTGACAGCATGGCCCAGTATGGTGATACTGATGCGGGTGTTTTCACCGAAGACGGCTCATTCATCGGTAATTTCAACATTTCTCGCCGCTTCTAATTTGTCTCTTTAGGCCAATATGTACCGCAGAAGAGCCTGATGCCTGCTGAAAGACCTGAAAAGGGCTCAACATCAACATTTGTCTAGATTTTGCCGGTCATCACCATTAATTATTCTTATTTATATGTACGAATTTAGTGGCGCTTCATCAAAAAGAAAATAATTATGTGCTAATGCCCCGGTTTTCGCATATTTGTCCCCCCATCAGCTTTCTTTTATGTTTCGTTTTCCCTTTTTTGATCAATAATTTCCCTGTATGGAATTGTTTCTTTTTTCGTTTCAACCTGGCGGGTAATTATTCGAGATTTGCACATTGTTTTATTCATATGTTTATTCATTTTCTATGTCGCTCTAAATCAAGCCACACAGACACACAAAACCACCAGACACTTTCCAATTTTTCTCTCATTTCCAATCCCAGCTGCCTAATAATTTAGATTAAAATTATAATAATTCATTGATCTTCAGTTAGAATTCAGTTGTGATTCGTTGTGCTCGTGTTTGTGTTTTCCTCTTTGTCTCATTTTTCCAATCCATCCTTTCCTTCCTTTCGTCTGTTTTTTTTTTGTCTTCGCCGTGCAAATTTTTTGTGATTCATTTTATCCTTGATGTTTCGAGCAACAAGTATTGTTCTAGGAGCGCAGCTCGTTTTGTCTTCATTTTATCATCGGACCCCTTTAAATTTGTTTTTTTTTTGAAAATTCTTCGCTTTGCGTCTTTCTCACGAATTATGTATGAAATTTTTATTATGCAAATTTTGGTACAATCGGTAAGAAGAAAAAGAAGAATGTAAAATAAAACTGTCAAGAATCATTGTCGCGAATTGCGTGGGTTTTCTCATTTCACAAGTTGATATGTTTCAATTCATGCAGAAAGCTGCAAATGGATCTCCTGAGCTTGTTCTTGTTCCTGCCGTTTTTCCTCGTAGTGATTGATGCGGGGCTTGCGGTTCGGATTTACGAGACGCTTTGCTATGAAACGCAGAACCTGCAAAAATGAATGATGAGCTGCAATTTTCTTGACAAAAAATAGGAGAATCTCATTTTTTACCGGATATTGTCGACGTCAAACGACTGAAGGGAGTCGGAGCCTTGAAATTCGCGAAATCAGTGTAGATTTAAATTTATAGTTGACTCAATATTAAATGCGCGTACGCTATAATGCAATGTACGCAGTCTCGCGTACTTCTCTCTGCCTCGAGACGCATTGGCACATAGCCAATAGTTTTTTTTCAATTTCGTCAAGTCGTTTGACTTCGACAATTTAAACACGTAAAAAATTTTTGATAATAATTGTCGAAGAGCAGAACAAATTTCAACGGGAAACTACAGTACACATCAAAGGCGCATGCAAAAATGCAAAAATGTTGGTCTATTGTGTTCCTTCAATAAAAGAGTTGCGTTTTTTTTTTTTTGAGAAATGTACTATAAATTGTTTTAATTTCCCCCAGTCGAAATGGTTCATACACACGCACGCAAAATTACACGATTAAATGAATTTTGAAAAATGCACTTCTTGACTTGTTTTTTCTTTGGAAAATTGATTTACTTATTATGCCCGACCCTGTAGTACTTTTTGATGCTTCCACGTAAGAATTTAGTTGTGATGGAGTAATTTGAAAACAATTTGAAGAACCTTGTAAAAAAAAAGTAATAGCAAATTGTCACTTGCGCCAAATTTTCGATTGCTTTAAAGCACTTCCAATGTGGTTCAGAGTTTTAAGACTCCCGACAAACGAAGACGGATTTGGGTTAACAGATCGGAGTCGATTGTCTCCAAATGCTATACCTTTCTATAGTTTCTTTTATTCAGCTCCGTTCTTCCGTCTTCATTCGCCCAAGGGTGTCAATATTATTATTTTTTTAATTTCTAGTTAAGCTAATAAGGGTTACCGTAGGACTAATTAAAGCGAATACCCGCCAACTTCCTAATATTCGAGAAAATGACAACAAACATCAACTACGACATATTTGAAATTCACTGTGGTATTCTGTGGTATTTATTGCAATCGATTGAGAACACTGACCTGTTTCCTACTAAGATCACATTTCTGCTCAATATCTCGCAGTTCATCCTCTGTCGGATAATGCCCGTTGTTGATCACTTCTTTAATGTATTCGCGTTGCCAGCCCTTCATTCTCGTCTAAACAAGAAAAAAAAATCGAAATAGAAACGATCAATTCCAGTGCTCGTTACATTTTTGTAGGGATGAAATTGGTTTCCCTCATTTCCGGACGAGTTTCCATTCGAGGCCAACTGATTCATTTCGGCCCATTCCGACGGATTCAGCTCAAAATCTGCTTTGCCGAACAGATTGCTAATCAGATCTGCGGACATTGATTGTGTGAGAATGTCGACTGGTGTCGAGTTCGTAGAAGACGTTGGAGGGACATCGGAGATTTCATTTTTGACTGAAGGAATCACAGGCGGCGGCCGAAGAACAGGCATCGATGCCGATGATTGGCGGGAAGGCGATGATTTGTTGTTCTCTGATGTCGAATCGTCGTCAAGTGACTGAATACAATATTATCCAATTTTCATAATTAATTCCTTTTTTAAACAAATAGTTTTGCAACTAAAATTTCAACTGTTTTCAATGAAATCTTGTCAAATCCGATTTGGCAATCATACGATATTGAAATACCACTTAATTGTGATCTGATATTCGCTAATCTGTGATTAATTCAAAATCCGGATTTTAAAGGATAATAAAACTAGTAAACTATTCTTCGACATCGAGTTTCCGTTAAAAAAGATATATCAAAATTGAATCAACATTTTCCCGAAAGAAACTATAAACAATGTCTTAAATTGGAAAAAATGTCATATTTGTGCAATTAATTTCATGTTTATCAAATAATTTTTAGGTTTAATCATCTCTACAGTAAGGTGTACGTTCTTAGATTATGGGCCAACATTCCGTTATCACTTGGTGTCGTGTGTATGTGTGTTTGATTTTCGAATTATTAGTAACTAGATTATTACCGACGCTTAATTAATTGAATTCATTTCTCCCGAATACAAATGAGTGCCGAAACGTTTTGTTTCAAAAATAAAAAAGAAGAAACAATTGGAGACCGAAATATGACTCACGTCTTTGAATGATGAAGAGCCTGGCTCGTCATTCGGATCGTCCCGCATTGAACATTGCGATAGGCTGGAGACAAATGACACATCCGAATATCCTTTGGAGACGATCGTCGAAAAGAAGTCGATGACACTGTTCTCCGGAATACGCACTATCGCGTATTTATATTTTTCAGACACCATTCTATAATTAAAAAAAGCCGAATACAGTATGAAACTGAAACTGTTTAAAAGTTTCACGAAACAACAGGGAATAGATCAAATAGGGTGTCATCTAGGGGCTCACATGACAAAAGTACGACTAAGAGCATTTTAGTGGCGAAGAGCTCGGTGGACGGTGAAAGCTGCGCAAATAATCGGCCCGCCAAAATTTTATTGATTTTGTTTCGTTTCGGCGTTGGGTCTTTGGTTAGAATCGGCCCCCAAAAAACGCTAATCAGCTGTCAGACCGAGCGACTCTGAGAGGGCCAACCTTGACCAGCAGCAAAAGTGGAATCTGGGAAAAGTAAGAGGAAAAGAATGAAGCTTGCAAGTAGAAAAAATGCACTCGAGAGTCTTATTTCAACCAAACCACTTATTGTGAGAAGACTGCCTAACTGAGCTCCTCCTTAGGCTTATTCTTCTTCTTTGAATAATGATTCGACCGACTTGAAACCAAGAAAACGCAGAATCACAATTTGCCGTTGTGGGCTGCATCGAAAGAAAGAGAGGAGAACAAATTTTGAAATTTTGAAATAAATATTGAGCAAGCTGTTGATAATTATAAAAAATAAGATCGTCTAGATTTTTGATCTACGGCATTTAATCAATTGCGAATTTGTCTTATGTCAGCATCAAATAGCAATGATAAATTGTGTCAAAGAATTTGAAACTTGTGTTACAGTAATCAGAGTGGTGAGACCCGCAACAAATCAAGCACAGAACAAGTACAATATTGAGGTAGAGTTAAAGATTTCAGATAAACAAATGATTTGAGCAAATATTTTGAGGAAAATTGAAAATCCGTTAATTTCAAATTCATCACACGAATAAGACATTCCGTCAGAAGACATTCAACGTTTTTTGAAACTTTGAGAGCAATTCGTTTCGAGACGCTAATTTAGAGGTTTGCATGCAAATATGAAATCCCGTCCGAAAATTCGCGGCGAAACGCTGAATAAAATAAATGGAATGAATAAAAAAAACCACACGAGACGGAGATAAGAATAAGATTTTCAGAAGCTTACATTAATTTCGGCTTGGATTAAGGTCTCGAAATCCGATGTTTTCCCTTCTTCCAACCCATCACACAGATTTCGAGGCAGTATTTGCTACGGTAGAGGCATAATCAATTAAGGCGATGACGCTAAATTGAAGCACTACTGTAGATAAGGAAGCGACGGTCTCATTACGTGTCAACACAGCCTCAGAAGCATTCGATAAGAGTGCGAGTCTCGGTGCTCCGTAGAGTCACAAATTCGGGGTTTATAGGTTTAAAATTAAGGTGCAACGCAAATTGGCCGGGCACTGCTGATTGCACACAGGGGTGGCTGCTGGCAGTCGCTATCTACACACACACACATGCGGACACACACACACACATACGCGCATATACACAAACAGCAGAACCCAAGAGTACATACACTTTAATTCGACTTATTGGCTTTTTGGGAGCAGGTGCAATTCGATACGGATAGACGCATTTCGGCGAGAGATTTCTTACGTACTTTCAATTTTCCAAAAACGTTCAGAAATTTGATCGTCTCGCACCCCGCCAATTCGAGAGTTTGCTCAGATCCGGATGTTCCGAAACTTTAGTTCAACGCGCTTATTTATTTCAAAAAAAAAACATTTTGATAGTTTTTTTTTGTGATCGAGAATAATAAGAAGTGAAAAATGAGTAGGAAATTGCGTGCAACGTATTGCTCCGCCCTAAAAATGATATTATCTATTTCTTCCATTTCTGGCTCTTTGGATACTCAACATTAATAGGCCTCCAAAAATTGGAATGCAAATTGAGAGACAATTGTTGATTTCCTAATTAGAGCCTAATTCGGTTTCTTGTGCAAATTCCAAAAAAGTGGATAAAAGAAATAGAGAGAAAATATCGGTAGATCTCCCATTTTTCACTGCGGTAGACTTCGACTTTTATTCATTTTCTTATTCTCACGTTCATAAAAAACAGACAAAAAAATCACGCCCAGACTGCGATGTGGTCGTTGATCTACGAAACAAGATAAAAAAGTACCTTCTGGTTTAGACGAATATTTGGTAGAGAGAATTTCGAACTAGTACGAGTGTGTCTTCCGGAAATCAAAAATTTGCGCCACTTATTTTAACATCAAAATTCTAAAAATACTCTAATCGGTTTCGAGAAGCCGGAAAGCAGATTTAAAACTGAGAAGCAATTCTCAACAAAAAAAATTCAAATTGGCGAAGACGAAAAGAGAAGGGCAGATTCTAATGGTGCATAAAATGTGCTCAAAAACCGAAGGCGCAGCGAAATAAAAAAAACGGCATTAATGCGCGTTTGATGATGGAAATTTTATTTATCGAAGAGTTCCTAGATAATGCTTAAGCATCAGGCGACTAAAAAGGTCCCACCACCAAAACGAATCACTTATTTCGTAACTCCGGCAATGTTTCGAAAGGCGATTCAATCGGTGTTCGACATCGCGTAATCAATTTACCAACAGTGTTAGAAAATAAACATCTGGGTGGTCGGCGACTCATTTTTTTTGTGTTGCAACATTTGAATCGGCATTTCTTCGAAAACAAACTTTTACAGTATTTGTTCTTCTTGAAATAAGCTTCAACATGATGCAGTTTGAAAATAAATGCATAAATGTTAGAATCGCTCGCGAGCGGTCCGCCAGGCACCGCTAAAAACTTGGTTTTTGTGACCCAATAATGTATGTGAATAGCATTGCATTGCACAGGCATAGAATTGAAAAGAATAGTGTGTTTGGGTGGTGGTGGTGAACGATTCGATTCAATTCGATTCCAATATTATATGTATATATAAATACTTTTTTAAATACGTATAAGTGAAGTGCGAAGCGGCAACGAAGAAATCGGATGGAGATGAACACAAAAATTGAGAGAGTGAGCGAAAAGAGAAAATCGGTCTCGTCGTTTGGCAAAAATCAATCGATCGACGGTTTAAAGTCTTTAGTGCGAGCGATTTACGTATTTTCGACAAAAATTGTAGGGTTTACGATGGCGTCGAGCGAGCGCGCCGAGATGAGGCGGGGCGGGTCGGCCAAGCCGCGACGACAACGCCGGCGGCGGGCGGCAGCGAAAAGAGAAGAACCGCTTTTCGAAAAACATCACACATGGGCTTGAGTATTTGAGGGTGAGTGTGTCATGTGTGAGGAGTGCGCTTATGTTAGTCCCAAGCATTTGAGGACCTTCCTAGTCCTCTGCATTTTCAACTAGCTACCGTACCACGTGTGCACACTGGCTGACGCCCTTAGGCGTCTGAGCACGTCCATCGAGTTGAGTCGCACACCAACTTGAAATATTTCATTTGTGGGTCTTGTTTCGCTTAATCTAGGAACATTCTTAATTTTTCAACAACCAACAGCTTTCGACATTTCCAGATTTTCAGGATGAATATGAGTATCTCAAGTAGAAAAGCGACTCACCAGAGGATTTCTAGAAGGACACTGATATAAGAAAGAGAGAACTCTGATCACAATCAAGATCGAGGCTATCAAAAATGTTATCGCTTTTAATTGTTCAGTTTGATAAACTGGCTCGTGAGTTCTAAGAGAGAACACTGCACGCTACTGTATGAATGTAGTGAAGTGAAAACGGCAAATAGCGCATAGTTACTGTTTGCCCTCGTTTTTATTGATAGTCGAGTTTCATGTTCCTCCTATTTTGATCGAAAGTGACGTATTAGGTATTCAGTCAATTCACGAATATTACTAATGTTCCGCCACCAACATCGTTTAAGTTTTGAATCGAATCGACTTTTTCGACTTTCAAAATCATCCCAGATATTAGAGAACTATTGAAATAACACGCTTATCAAGTTCGTTTAGGGAGAATTTGATTAAATGTTTTAAGATGAGGGTACATACATTATCAAACATCGAAAGACGATATTGGCAAAGTGCGTAAGATCACAATTGAGAGATATTTATCTATCCCTTTATCTACCAAAGTGCAGAATTCACCAACTTTTAGCAAATTTCTGTTTCTAAACACAATTTCAAAAATCATTTTATCACAATTGCGTTGTAACGTCTACTAAAATGAGAAGAGATATTCTCTAATGAGCCTCAAGTTCTCACGGTCAAGACTCTTGAATGACAGCTCAGAATTTAGGGCAAATTAATTTTAGGTTAATGTGTATGCATGTGTGTTTGTGTTCGAAGAACGGGGGGATCTAAACCCTCTGATTAACGCATGCTTACTCACTAAACCATTCGTTGGGCTGTATTAATCTGCGATTGCAACCACCAATAGCAATAGCAGCGGCAGCAGCAGAGGTAGGAGTGGGCCCTTATGCTAGGGCAAGGTCACGGATTAAGTCGAATCATCGTAATACAGAACCGTGACGAGAATCGGCCAAACACGGGGAGAAACATTAAAATCGCAAATGGGAAATGAATGAATAACGCGATGATCTTGCCCTTGACAATTTCATATTCTCTCGAATTTCACCCAAAACAATTTGCGAGCAAATAATCACGAAAACAAGGTATGTGTTTTGCGCCTTAATTGATTATTCATCGATAATGCTCAATTTACTGCCTACGATAATTAGTAGGGAAATGCATTTATATCGAAGGGATGAAGTGCATGAATAACCAGGAAGAATGCGAAAGAATCGACGGCAAATTGGCGTCTTTCGAATAAGAATCAGACTAGCTACAAAAAATTCGAGTTAAAGAGCAAAATCGCGAAAATAATGGAATGGAAAAGGTTGGAAATGTGGCAATAAATCTAATTGCAGACCCTCGAAATGGGAGAGATCATGATACGATGATTACCGTAATTTTATCGCATTATTTACATAATTTAGGTCTCTCTTTGATCTGCGTGGTTTTTTTGTTCCTTGTTTTTTTTTTTTGAGAATTGTTTGAAACACTACAAGATTGAAAAAAAAAACACATAAAGCGCAAATCCTATAATACTATTTTTGTCCAATTCGAACATAGTATGACCATCATCGCTGAAGAAACCTTTTAATA